GGTGCGGTTGGTGAAACTAGAGAAACAATTAGCCTGCTCTCATTTCACTTGACTTACTGTCCTTTTCCTGCCTCACATCCTCATCACTTAGTATCACCCTTTCTTGTTCTCCTTTCTAAACGTTATTCTATACCACGTGTACATTTGTGCACACAAATGCATTATAGGCTAGGATATGCATGAAGCTGAACATGCAGCATTTTTCTTTCTGAGATTGTGTATCCCCACGGAATATTGCACATTCTAAGTCCATCTATTTTCTTGAAAAGTCTGTGACTTCATTTTTCTTTAGAGATGAATAATATTCCTCTTTATATATGTACCAGGTTTCAGTTAGCCATTCATCTGTTGATAGACATCTAGGGTTGTTCCATTTCCTTGCTATCGTCAGTGAAGCAGCAACAAAAACAGGTGTGCAAACATCTGGAGGGAAGCATGTGGAAGTCTTTGGGTATACACCCAGAAGTGAAAAACTGGATCATATAGTAGTGCTATTTTTAATTTGAGGGACCACTGAACTGATTTCCACAATGGCTGTTTATTAGTTTTCACCTCCACCAGCAATAAAGTTCTTTCCCACACCCTCTCCTCATGATTGCCATTCTGACTGAGGTGCCACGGAATCTCAGAGTCATTTTAATTTGCATATCCCTGATGACTAGGGATACTGAACACTTTTACAACTATAGGTTGGCTTCATATATATTTTTAAACCTGTTTATTCAGTTTATTAGACCATTTGTTGACTGACAGCTTTATTTCCTTGGTATTTAATTTCTGCACTTCTTTGTAGATTCTGGATATTAGCCTCTTGTCTGAAGTATAACTGGTAAAGATTTTATTTCTTCTGTAGGCCGTTGGCTTTGCTGATAGTTCTTCTTGCTGTGTCAAAACATTTTAATTCCATGTAGTCGCATCTGTTGGCACCTGGGTCTAGTTCCTATGCTACTGAAACGCTGTTCAGAGAGTTCCTGCTCACCACAGGATCATAAAGAGTATTCAGTATGTTTTCATCCTGCAGTCCCAGAATGCCAGGTTTTAAGATCAGGTCATTCATCCATCTTGAATTCTTTTCTGTACAAGGTCAGAGATGAGTCTAATTTAATTCTTCTGAGTGGAAATCCACATGTTGTATGTGGTCTCATTTTTTCCACTGCATGTCTTCGGTTAAGAAACAAAACTCAGGCCAGGCATGGTGGCCCATGACTTTAAGCCCAGCACTTGGGAGGCAGGAGTATACAAAACTACTGCTACTGTGGTCTAAGAGGTAAGGGTCCATTCCAAACTGGCAGCCAAAATTGCAGATGTTGTGCCTGTCGTGGTGGTTTTGGAGACAAAAAAAGATGCAAGATTGAGGGGCCTCAGATTGTTTCTCCATAGTTTCAGAAAGCCACTGAGGTCAGAAAACGTGTAGCAGGGCCAGAGTCTGTGCAGGGCCACTGCGTACAGTTATAAAGAAGTCAGGGTTGTGATGGAGATGGCTAGGTGCTAAGAGATTCTAGAGCCATGAGATGCTTCCCAAGAATGGCTGCACACATACATGGAGTGAGACCAACTCAAGTGAGCAGTGTCTACTACAGGAAGCAGAGCTGGAGGGGCCAAGCCATCTACGCCCTCAGAAATCCAAGCCTAAGATAACAGACACATAGCCACAAAGATTTGATATTTGCCCTGCTGGAGTTCAGTCTTGCTTTGGTCCAACCTTTCCACATTGCTGCTCTTCTTTCCTTTTCATAATGGGAATGTATATTCGTTGCCAGCATATGCTGTATGTAATTCCCTTTTTTTTATTTTATAGGGGGTCGCAGTTAAGAAATTGCTTTGAGTCCCATAGAGACTAGAATTTTAAGGTGTAAAGACCACGGGAAATGTTGAACTTGGTCTTAACTGCATTTTGCACCATGAGATGACCATATGCCTTGGGGGCCAGGAACCTGAATCTGATAGTCTAAATGAGAAATGTTCCCCACAGACTTAGATATTTTTAAACACTTGGTCTCCAGCTGGTGGTGTAGTTAATGTGTGTATGTGTGTGTGTAGTATGGTATGTGGTGTGTGTGTGTGTGTGTGTGTGTGCGCGCGCGCGTATGTACCTTTAGGAGGTGCAGCCTTGCTAGAGAGGTAGGGTTTGAAGGTTTATAGTCTTGCCCCAATTCCTTCCTGATTTCCTCCTATTCTGCTTCCTGTGTGTGGGAGAAAAATGCCATCAGGCCATGCTTTCCCACCAATATGGACTCTAACCCTCCAGAACTGTAGGGCAAACTGAACCTTTCATTGTTGAAGTTACTTTTGGTTAGAGTTCTATCACAATAACAACAACAACAAATAGCTAGTACAGATGGTAAATACAGGATTCCCCCTCAAAGATTACTGGAAGCAAAGTATTGCCTTGCTACACAAGTAGTTCAAACTAGTTCAGGCTGGGACGATCCTTCTCTTCTTCACATCTGATACACTGGGGATGTATTGGAATAGACCAGTCTATATTTGTTACCAGGGAAAATTCACATGCTATCCTTTAGAGATGGAAGGACACACAGCCTGAGGCATGTCAGGGAAGAAGATTGAGGCTTCTAGGTGTAGTATTAGGAGACGGGAGTGTGTGCAAAGCACACACAGGTGACGAAACTAGGCTGCAGAGTGCACTGTTTATTTTTAAATTTATTTTTTTTGAGACAGGGTCTCTCTCTCTACACAGTGGGCAAGTGCATTATTGAGAGGGTGTGTATGTGTGAGTGTATAATCCAAAACCAAATGGGGGTCCCAAGTGAAACTATCTTTTATGCATTTCTGCCTCATTCCCAGTGAATTCATAACTATGAAGTTAGTATGGGCCATGGTTTGCTTAGGGTTGATGCAAAAGTTTTTTGGATTGCCATGGGTCTAGTAGACAAGAGCTCCAAGACAGAACTTGACTCCTATTGGGACTCTGGAAGGGAACATCCTTTAGGTGCCTTTTTCAATGACAGTGCTTGGAAGCAAACATGTGATTTGTGCTCCAAATCAGATCCAGAGATGGGAAATCTTAAAGAAAAATACATGTATGTTTGTATCATGTACTTGTCTAGTGCCAGCAGAGGCCAGAAAAGGGCATCTGATCTCCTGGAACTGGAATTACTGATGGTTGTGAGTTTCCATGTGGGTGCTGGGATTCCTTTGGAAGAGCAGTCAGTGCTCTAATGGCTGAGTTCATCTGCCCAGGCTAGAAATGGAGGCGATGATATTGAGGACTTCTGAGATGACCTTCAGATGAGATTTTGGTCTCAAGAGCCGATGCTGCACTGGGTTAAGAGCTTGGGAAGGCCAGGCATGGTGGCGCACACCTGTAATCCCAGCACTCAGGGAGGCAGAGGCAGGCGGAGCTCTGTGAGTTCCAGGCCAGTCTAGTCTACAAATTGAGTCCAGGACAGCCAAGGCTGCACAGAGAAACTCTGTCTCAAACCAAACCAAACCAAATCAAAAGAAACAAAGACTTTGGGAAGAACTGAATATGTGGGGAAATAGCTTTGCTGGGGCTAGATGTTAGACTGGTTTGATGGTGGCTCCCTATGCCTACATCCTAATTTCTAGCACCTGCGAAATGTCACAGCATACGGCAAAATGTGTGATTGCATCAAAAGCTTGAGAGGTACTGATCCTAGATTTTTCCAGACTGGCCCTAAGTCCAATGACAATTTTTTTTTTCTCATAAATCATTCGAGGGCAAATTTGGAAGAGGAGAGTCAGGAATGACTGTAATGGGTGGAATGGGAAAATGTTCTCCACAGCTCATATTTGAACATGGTGTCTAGTTGGTGGTGCTCTGTTGGCAGGCAGTGGAACTTTGGGGACAGGGTGCCTAGGTTAGGGCCCCAGAAATGGGGTCTAAGGGTCGCAGGCGTCACTTCTGGCCTGACTGCTCTGCTTCTTGACCATCAGTGAAACAGAATGAGTGTCTCCACTCCCACCTCTCATCCTCTGCTGTCTCATCCAGGGACCAGCCCTTTGCCATGATGGAAGATACATTAGCTACGAGAAAAGTGATCCCTAAGAACAAGACACTACCATAGCTGAAGATTATCTGGAGGCACAGAAACAGGAAGAGGCCAGCAAAGGCTCTTTCCTCAAACTGTTAGGGGAAGTAGTCTTGTTGACATCTAGATTTCAATTTCTTGCCTTACAAGTCATTTGTTACAGTTAAAGAAATTTTTTTAAGGTTGTGTATGTGTGTGTCCACTAGTTGGCTTTGAACAGACCCGAGGGAACTCGCCATCAGTGTCAACCCTCAGATCCCTGACTACTCTGCCTTCTCTGTGCTTTATTTATACACAATGTCCCAAGATTTTACCTACACTCAGAGGGGAAGATATCAACTTAACAAAGTTGGAACATCAACTGGGAAAATGCCTTGATAAGACCAGGCTGCACAACATTTTCATGATTAGTGATTGATGGGCGAGGCCCACACACTGTGGGTGATGCTATCCCTGGGCTGGTGGTCCTGGGTTCTGTAAGAAAGCAGGCTGAGCAAACCTCGATGAGCAAGCCAGTAAGCAGCACCTTCCATTCTGCACCAGGCTCCAGGTTCCTGCCCTGCTTTTGTTTTATCCTGACTGGTGATAGGGAAGTGTAACCTAAATAAACCTTTTCCTCCCCAAGTTGCTTTTTGGTCATAGTGTTTCATCACAGCAATAGAAACCAAAACTAATACAATTCACCTTTGGGGGAAGCAAAAATAACCCTTGGATTTCACTTTGTTATAAATGACAATGTTCTAGTGACAAACATCCCAAACTACTGCTTTGGGTTAATGTCATTTCCTTGCATAAAGTTTTCCTGTGATGCCCAAGTGCTTATTAAACCACAGCTCTCTTAGCCCAGCATTCATTCCCTTCCCAGTCTGGTCTTCTCCCATCCTTTGCAGGACTTCTAAAATCACGCTTTCTTCATCCCAGTACTTCTGGATTCTGCATTCATGAAGGGGAGGGCTCTATGGTCAAATGACATTACTCACAGATGAGTTGACATTGGACTTCAGCCAGCATCTTTATTAGAAGAGTTTTCAGATACTTTCCCCAGTGTTTAGTATCAATCTCTAAGAAACAATTAAAGCACGAAGCACGTTCTGAACTCACTTGACCATCAATGCTTCATACTGTCTCTGTGGTGGCCACTTTGGCATTTCTCCATTCCAACTTTATTTATCCTCTAACCAAATATGCCCATTTATGATAACCTGATCCTGTTTTGCTTTTACATGCACACACACAAATACACACACACACACTCACACACACACATAACACACAAGTTCTATGTGATGTTGAAATGGCTCATGAAATAGACACACTAATCAATTTTATAAAACTTCCCATGATGTTGAATTTTGAGTCATAAGTACTTGTGATGGTATACGGCAGAAATACACCTTTGAACATTAGATATATATCTGAAGTAATATTACAAAATATAGAAACTATTTCTAAAATGAACCAATTTAATAATGCTGCTAGCTGATGGAAGAGGCAGCACCATCTCATCCTACCAGTGTGTGTGCATGTACACACATACACGCACACATGTACTTGACAGGTATAAAGGAGTGGCAGACTGTTCAGTAGGGTAGCAGCTGGCATAAGCCCTTCATCTTCCTTTTTCTTGCATGACAACCGATTCCAGGTAAACGTTGGGACTCAAGAAATGTAGCTGCACTTCCATTCTGCCTGGCTCACACTGTGGCTTAAAGGACCAGACAGCAGGGAGCCTGGCATCACTCCAACTTAGTCAAAGGTCACTTGCTACAACGACCAGCACAGAAGGTAGGAAAATTTACCAGGGGAGAAGTGAAGAAGAAGAAACAGTGTCGTCAAACTTATGATTAACCATCTAAGAGAGCTGGATCCAGATGCTGTCCCAGCTGTAAGGTGAGGAGGGGTGGGCAGGGCAGGTCTCCTTCCCACCAGCAGTCCAAAGGGGGCAGGTTGGCTGCTGTCAGGAAAACACTCAAGCTGACATTTGTCATGTGCCCTGCAGGGCAAACTGCCCTGCGCTTTCTTCTTATAGCAGTGGAAGCAACTTTGAAGCATTGCTGCTTTGAGTGCCTGTAACTGACACTCTTGTGCTTCTGTGGTAGAGGACGTCCAGTGTGTAGACAGGGCCAGCATAGGCTGCTGGGGGCAAACATCACACTGCTGCTGGGAAAGGGGGTTCCACTTGGGTGCTGGAGACACCAGAATGTCACCACATCCAGAGCCAGGGGCCAGTTCATGGGAGCCTCAGTCACAGGCCTGCTCCAGGCTACCCCTTTCTTCATCCTCCATCTGTAACCAGCTCCAATCTAGAGTCTGAAAGTCAACAGGCACATTAATACTCAGTGGCCACGGCCAGTGTTCCTCTTTGGGAGGCAAGCAACACAATCTAGAAGCACGTTTAAGCCTTATCAGCATCATTCCTGGTACTATGGGCGCCTTTGAGCCAAGCGAGTTGTATATTCAAATGCAGCAGGTTTCCTCTGGACTAGCTGAAGTTCCTGCAACTCTGCGCCTACAGAATGTGGACGGTCGTTTTAGGACCACCTGTAGCATAGAGCTCTCATTTACACACTCACTGCAGGTAGGTGGTGATCATTTCCGTTATCTGTTTCCATGCCAACCAGATGCGGCTTCGCTTTTCTCAGATAAAGTGCAAGCAAGCAGTGAGATGGAAGAAACAGTACTAGGAGGTGAGAAGCAACAAGAGTTAGGAAGGTTCGCCAATGAAGGACAAGTGAGCAGATTAGCAATGATGGCAACTGGCAGTGGGGCTCCTTCTGATTCCCCCAAAGTTAGAAGTGAAAGAGTAGCTAGGAGATGAGCACATTGGCAGGAAAAGGCCCTTCAGACACCTACCATCATGTAGGCTGTCTGAAAGAACCTGGCTTGTGGTTACATTTTCTTCATGTCATTTTCCCTGACACTACTGCTGTGACAGGTTTCTCTTTTGTCACAGAGCCCAACACATAGAGATGTTCTGCAATGGTCCCAGAGAGAAGGAAAGGGCTTCTGGGAATACTGCTGCCACCATATCAGGATTAAGTCTTATAAGGATAAAGATAATGAATGCACATGGCATTTCTAAGCATGAAACAAGTACAAAAAACTTTAAAATGTATGAGACATCATGGATCTCTGCTGAGCCAAGGATGACACCAAACTGCTTTTCCTCCTTCTCTCCTCTTTTGGCTGCAGAAGGAAAGGGAATACACAAGCCGGGGTCCCCGGAGGTGGTTACCGTGAAGCTTCGGTCCTGCTCCTTCACCGTGTTGTGCAGCGTGCTTTCTAGTCGGGTGCAGAGGGCGTGTGCTTCAGCCACCAGCTCCTCACTGAACACAATGATCACATTGGCAGAACAGGGTCGTCAGGATCTTACCAGAGCTAACAACCTGCTTTAAAATATGCTAAAGAACTTTGCATACCATTCTAAAAACAACACAGGAATTACTCGTGTCTTAAAGTACCACATCGTTGACTAGTGATTTCAAGTGTCTAATTAAATACTCCACAGATGCTCAAATCCAGTGAGATATAACACTGCTGAAAACATGGAACAGTAAACAGATCTTTACATAACAAAAATGGATTTATCTTCATTTTATATGCATGGGTGTTTGCTTGTGTGTGTATCTGCACTTGATGGACACGCAGAGCCCAAGGAGGCCAAAAGAGGGCACTGGATCCTTGGACCTGTGGTTACAGCCAGTTGTGAATTGTGGGTGCTGAAAACTGAATTCAGGTCTTCTGCCACAGTAGCCAGTGCTCTTAGCTGTTGTGCTGTCTTAGCTCCCAGATTTCTTTCTGATTTACACATGACCAAATTTCTAACCAAAAGCGCCAAAATCTAAAAATGTTCATTTGTTCAGAAAACAGCACCTGTTTTCTGAACTTCTTTTTTTATTTGTTTTGTTTCTTTGTTTTTTGTTTTTGTTTTTAGCAGTGCTGGGAATTGAACATGTGCTAGGAAGTGCTCTACCACTGAGCTGTAGCTATAACTCACACCTTTGGAAATGAAAAAAAAAAATTAAGAAATTTATGAGCTTCTGCAGTGCACAATTAGAAAACAAACTAAATAATTGTTTTTCTTTCATGGATTGTCTTTCTGACACAGGGGAAGCTGAAACAATGTGTCCTTTTTCAACCATAACCTGACACAGAGATAAGGCAGTCATCCCTATCCCTGCTCATAGTCTGGATGTCACTGAAGGAAAAGTATCAAGAGACAGAGCCCCAGACTCCCCTTCTCCTTCAAAATGTGACATTCTGTGTGGGAAAGAATCAAGAGCATGTCCCCAGGGCGCCTAGCCAGGCTAAAGGCTCCCTGTCAGCTCCAGAGCACAGAGAGATACATGACCTGGTGTGTGATCCAGAAGCTTGCAAGAGATGGGACAGGTAATTAAGAGTCCAGAGAAACATATAATTGAATACCAAAGATTACACGCTCCCAGGGATCAAGAATAGGATTTCTCAAAACATCTTTACAGTTATTTGGTTTATGTTACAAAGTTTGCCTGTTCACACTGTCACAACTCCATGGCTTCAGCCTGTGTACGGAGTTGTACAGTCATCACTCTGTCTAATTACAGAAACTTTTTATCATCCCCAAAGAAACCTTCTACCCATTACCAGCCATCCCTTCCCACACCTGGTGTTGGGCGTCATCCGCCTCCTTCCAGTTCCTAAAGACTTACCCTCAGGAGCTGCTGTAAGCATCTATAATGCAGGGGACCCAGTTCCTAAAGACTGCTTTAAGCCACTGCAAGGCAGGGGACCCAGGATGCAGAAGCTTTGAGCAACGGCAGTGGAGCTGAACAAAGCAGACCCACTGGTGAGCGTGAAAGATGAGAGGCAGCAAAATCTGAGGAAGGAGGGTCTGTCTTGTCAGCAAGCAAGTCTCTGTGCTTCAGTGTGCAGCAGAACCAGTCAAAGAACTAACTGAGTACCCCTCAATTCAGAGGGTCTCGGTGGGACCCTAGAACTTGTTGCTGCTGCTTCAGTTGGACTAGCCTAAGGCAAGCCGTTTCTAAGAGACGATGGATGATCCAAGAACCACACTGAGGTGTTCACAAATACTTGCAAGTTTAAACATGACCTTGAATGGAGAAGAAAGCCCGTTGCTTTCTTTCTTTTAGTTACTGACCAAACGACTTGGTCAGAATGTCACTCTAGGTAAACAGAACACTTGGCTAGAAGTTAAGAGTCAGGAAGAAAAAAAAAAAAGAGTCAGGGAAGGGCTATAGTATGTGTCAGAAAGAAAAGACTGGTGAGATGGCTCGGCAGGTAAAGGCACTTGCAGCCAAGCCTGGTGACTTGCGTTCATTTCCCAGGATCCACATGGTGGAGGAAAGGAACCAGCTTCCACTAGTTGTCCTCTGACCCTGACAGTGCAACAAAGCACACCCTCTCACAGACAGAAATTTAAAAGGGGTGGGGGGAGGTAAAGAGGTGAATGAAGGATGAAGGGAGGAATTGGGCGGGAAGAGCAGCCTCATCACTCTAGAGCAGTGGTCTCAGCCTTCTTGCTGCTGTGACCCTTAAAACCGTCCCTCATGCTGTGGTGACCCCACCCATAAAATCATTTTCATTGCTACTTCATAACTGTAATTTTGCTACTGTTATGAATCATAATGTAAATATCTGATATGGAGGAAATCTGATAGTGACCCCAGAGGGGCCACGACCCACAGGTTGAGAACCACCGCGCTAGGTGGTGCTGACTGGGAGAAGGCCAGAGTCTCAGGTGTGACAAAGCGGGCACATCTTGGTTTTAAAGTGCAATTAGCACCTGTGTACAGCACGACTAACAGTTTCAGTATTCTCATTAGGCAACTGGTAATCTAGCTCTTGGACAAGGAAAGTAGTTAGCAAGAACAAGAGGCCATAGAAGCAGAATGAAAAAAAAAAAAAAACATGTCTGTGTCTACAGGACCTGATAATCACAAAAAGAGAAGCACACTCAAGATCCTTGGGTGGAAGTGACTGGTGACAAGCACACACATCCACTCCCAGGCCCTGCGTGCCCTTGAACGTACACTAAGCACTGTCAAGCATAGCTTACCTTTTCTTGGCCGACTCAGGTAAGCTGTCACAGGCACTGGAAGGCTGGGACATCAGCTGACCAGGGTGACTAAGTCGGGACAGATTCATGCTATCTGGGCTCCCACTCACTGGACCTCGGACTTTGCTCTGCATGATAAAAAAAAAGGTAGCCAACAGAATTATGGAGTCAGTGGGCTGGAGAGATGGCTCAGCGGTTAGCGCATAGTACTCCTGCAGAGAACCTGAGTTTGGTTCCTAGCACCCACGCTGGGTAGCTCACAATTGCCTCTAACTAAAGCTCCAGGGAGATCCAATATCTCTGACCCCCCTCAGACTTTCTGCACTCATATGCACATACCCACCCACATGCATGTACACAAAATTAAGAATACAATAAATCTAAAGAGGGAGACGCTGCTACTCTTTTCCAAGTAGGAAACACACAAAGAGGTTGTAAGACAGCTGCACTACCTGTGCTGTATCTAAGAAAGAACACTGAGATGCTTGATGGCAAGGGCTGCTATGGCTAGCCTTCCTATGGCTAGAGGTCAGTCAGAGGCTCCTGCCACCTCCTCAGGCCTGCAGCCCGTTCCTCAGCACCTCTAGCCACTTCTCCAGTTGAGCCTCTGGACATGCCTTGGCTGGGGTGCCTCACACACTCTTCACTGTCCCTGTCCCTGCCTTCACTGTTGCCAGGCTTTGCCTTCAGCCCTCAGGTTGAGGGTCCCTTTCTGGCTCCAGACCCTCCGCACCGGCTAACCACCGAGGTCCACCTTCAACAAGCCTTTTAAATAAGCAGCTTTGTACTGTTCTTCACCGTCGGCTGCATCGCCTGTGGAGAGGCCCTGGACACCTGCTTCCTGGGTTTCTACCCTAGGCACGCAAGCTTGGAAGGTCATTCCATAGGGACTGGCTCCCACGGCTGGGGTAGCCTACTCCTCACGGGGTTCTCAACTCCTCCCACTGCATGCCTTTGTCTCTTAGTGCTGATGTTTGACACTATGCTGCATTCTGTCACTAGCTGTAAAGACAATGTTTTCTCCGGAAGTGTCTTCATTAGGAAGGGGAAGAAGGAAGCCTTAAGTGTTTCCTCCTGTGCTGTAAGAATAAGGGGTGTCTCATATAAGCCAGTGCTAGCCCTGTCCGGTCTTACCCTGTAGGTCTTAGCCTACAACCACTGCTCCGACCCACTTTTGCCATCCGGATGGCACAATCTTCTGGAATGTGCCCATCACCACATCACTCTAACTCAAGGTCCAGGAGCCTTTCTGGCTGCTCCCTCGAGTCTAAGAAAGCTGGGGTTCCTGCCCCGAGTTTACGCACCATCACTCCTGCACACTGAAGGATTTTCCACTTCTTCACGAAGTCTAGTGTTCCCTGCCGAGCCCTGGTCTGCAACCCTCACTGGATTAGAGCGGAGGCCATACCCAGCTCCCCACATCCTCCAGCTTTCACACTGTTGACACTCGTGAATGCACTCGTATTATCTCAATTTCCCCCTTCTCTCCCTTCTTACAAGAGAAAGTATCTCCCAGCTCTCATCCCCAGGGAAGTCCATCAGTGACGCCCCTAATTCTGATTTCCCTGTTCTCAGGAGGGAGCACAAACTCCCCCTGGCACTGTGACTCTCTTAAAACACTGTCTCCTCCCGTTTGGCCTATAGAGACACTGCAGTCTTAAGAATCTTCACAAAGCACCATTTTTGTATCTTGCTTCTGTAATATGCCACCTTTTTTTCTTGCCCTTTTTGGGGCTGTTTTGTTATCTGAGGCAGGGTCTTACTATGCAGTCCAAGCCTTGACTGCTCTGGACTCTCAAGTGCTGGGATCATGCCTCCTCCTTCCCCATCTGCACCCTAACTCCTTGCCAGGTATCATGACATAGCTCAGGCTGGTCTGAGGTCATCATCTTCCAGTCTCAGCAAGTGCTGGGATCACAGGAGGATGTGATCCTGACAAGATCCTGTCAGCTGTGAGTGTGTGTCTGTGTTGAGCTCTATCTCTAGCCCTGACTGTGTTCTTGTGAGAGGCATTCAGGTGACAGATACTGATGTCAACTGAAGACACAGACATGGATGAGAAGGTTTGAGCCGCTGGTGGTGGGGGTGGGGAGCTCTGCCCTGGATCCTTGAGAGGGGCTACCATCCTGCTGACATCTGGATTCTTAACTTCCGGCCTCTGAAGCTCTTGAAAGAACAGTATCTGCTGTTTGGAGCTTCTCTACTTGTGGTAATCACAGTAGTCTCTTGTGTAAGTAAAAACATCTCACATAAACTCTCCCTTTAGGAAGTCTCCCTGCCCACTCCATGTCACAGGTAAGTGCTGACAGAGCAGCCGAGCTGAGGGGCCTGTGCCTTCTTGGAGGGTGGTGGTGGCATGCAGAGGAGAGAAGACCTGAGGGGCCACAGCAAAGGTCACTCACACAGGCGATCTTCAGGAGGTTCCAGAGCTCCTTCTGCCGCTTCTCCTGAAGTCGGACCACAGTCTTCTCATCCTCATTCATGAGGCTCACCACCTCTTCCACCTTGGGCAGCAACTCTAGTGCCTTCTGCTTACACACCACGGTTTTACTGTAAGGAACAGATGAGCCACACTCCTGTGAACTCTGGGCTGGCACAGCATTGCTCCCGACTCTGATGGATCCTGCCAGCAACTGTAGATTGTTTCTTCACTGTGCAGGCAGATCAGGGCAGAGCAAGAGCCCCCGCCAGCCCCGTGGCTCTGCTGTGACTCCACACCCTGTCCTGCGGTAGGAGAGAGACCACCCACCTGAGCTGTGTATAAATCAGCCGCACTTTCTTCTCGAAGCACTGGATTGCCTGAAGGAGCAGCCGTACCATTTCCTGACTGTCACCTTCTGTTCTTTGGTCTGCAGAGGAAAGCGGCAGAGGTCCTCCTACTGGCCCCCAGGGCAGACCAGTGTCTCACAGACAGACAAAATGGGGCCAGGGCCAGAGCACCCACCTCGTGGCTTCTCTCTTAGTCTTCTATAGAGCTCCCTGGCTTGTTCCTCTCTGGAGAAGGAAAAAGGCTAGAGTCAAGGCCTGACAGGAACATTTGAAGCACCAGTCCACTACTCATTCTTGCCAGCAGAACCGCTACCTTTTAGACTACTGGTCGTATGTTCTCAGTGGGGAAAAAACCTGGCAGTTTTGGTAATTTTTATAAAATCCAACTGCCCCAAACAAGAGCAAACTTAAGGGCTATATCCTTCCTCTGCCTAGCAACAAGAGTGGTTCAAGGTGCCATTTCTGGACCTGACCAAGAAAAGACTTGCCCTTAAAAGCCTAAGTCCAAGGCTAGCTATGACCGCCTCTCTGCTCCTCTAATACAGGTGGGCTGGCAACAGACCGGGAAGAAGGCTCTAACTGATCTTGACTGCACACACAGCCTGAGCACTCACGAGGCTGAGGTAGTAGGATTTCTATAAGTGTTAAGGCAAGTCTTGACTACCCAGCAAGTACCAGATCACTCAATACTCTGCAGTGTGATCTTGTTTTGAAACAAACCGACAGCACTTACACATACCCACACGTGTACACGCATACAAAGAGAAGATTATCATTTGGAAACCTGAAGAGAATGAAGGGTGAAAATATACAAAGGGGGAAAAGATAATTCTTTATTTTTAGATTTCTCACCCTAAGACTTGTAGAAAGAGCATCAGGGGACACTGATCACTCCAGGTGATAGGGCCCTTAAGCTGACCCGCCAGCCCAGAGCCCCAATGTCAGCACACAGGGCTGCGTTTAGGGTCTCCAGGGAGGATAGATCTGTGTAGATGCTTTGACCCCTCGTGGACACAATGCCAAATCCTGGGCTCAGCACAATCCTCCTCAGTTTTATTTCCTGCTCTGGAAGTCACACCCAGACAGGGCTGGCTGGATGAGCAGGGCTGTCTGCTGCCCACAGCAAAGCACTCTGTGTGTGTGTGTGTGTGTGTGTGTGTGTTATGGGGGTGTTTCCTTGTCACTTCATGGGTCTGGATGCCAAGGCTCAGGGTGACAGACAGCCATCTGTCTAGTTTATCCCAGGAATGTGCCAGGTGATTCATTGGGAGACATGCCCACAGAACCTCCTGAGGCAATCCTGACACACCAGAAGCTCTGTGGGGCGTCAGTGTGTCTGGGGGTACAGCGTGGTCCCTCCCTGGTTGTACTCACAGGTCATCCAGAGTGCCCCCCTGCTTCCGACCCATCGGGCTCCTCTGTAAGTCCACAATATCCGTCTGCAGGGCCATCATTTGCTCCACCAGATGCTTCACGTCATTCTCCTGATGGAAAAGCTGTGCTCATGTCAACTGGGCGTGTACAAAGGGCATCCGGAGATGACAGATGCACTGGGAAGACCCTCAGCTGACTGGCTAGATGGAACATGGGCTTGGGAGTAAGATGGTCCAAACTCTCCTCTCCTGTCTACCCCTTTGTAGCTGTGAGACCCTCAGCAGCAACAGAGCTGTAAGCCACAGTTTCCTCGTCTCTTAAACAAACCTCCAACAGGGCTTCACTGCAGAGTAAGCACAGTAACCTGGCAGAGAGGATGCCCAGTGCTTCTGACTTTGTCTCCCTTACTGTGTCTGCCCAAAGCAGGTGTTATAGCTGAGTGTCAAATTGGTGAGGAAGACACACACTTCTTCAGGGTTGGGCAAGAAACTATATTCAGGACAAACATCTTTAACTTAGATTTATTACTGTGTGTGTGTGTGTGTGTGTGTGTGTGTGTGTGTTAATAAGTGCACGCATGTGCATGCTGGCATCTGTGTACCATGGTGTCTATGTGTGTGGAGGTTAGAGGACACTTTCAGGAGTGGGTTCTCTCACTCTGTGTTTCTGAGGCAAGCCTTTCTTATTGGTTCTGACACACTGCGTACTCCAGGCTAGCTGGCCTGTGAGCTTCCTGGCAGTTCTCTCGTCTCTGCCTCCATCTTGCTAAAGGAGCATTGACAGATGCATGCTATTACTGGCTTCTTAAAAAGTGGTCTTTGGAAATCAGACTCCAGTCATCAGGTTTAGAGCAGCAAGCACCTGCACCCACTGAGCCACTTGGCTGGCTTTGAGTTGTGTACCTTTAAGTAAGCAGACACCTGTTAGGTCTCATTTATAGTTAGGTACTAAGCCACAAAGGCAAAGCCCCTTTCCAGTGCACAGGATGTGAAGGAAAAGCTCTGGCCTGCAGGGTCTCGGATCTCTAACCTTGTGAAGAGGGGTTCTCAATGGCCTCTAAGCACACCATCCTGAGATTTCTGCTTGAACCCTTTCTTCCTTACAGATTTCGTGTTTCAACAAGCTCAGGCGGAAACCTTTGTTTCCGACCCAAAGCCCATTTTAATAGCAGGAGGCCTTGGCTTTCCTGAGGGCACCTGACATTCTGCTTCTTTCCTGAATCCAGACTAAGTCTGCTCAGTTCTCAGGTCTGGTCACAGCAGGACTCCCTGCACTTACTACTCTGTTATATACAGAAGTCTGGGTAGGGTCAAAGGGTGTGATGAGAAAACCTTCAGTTTGGACACAGCAGCTCACAGAGTTGGATAAGGAAGTAGAAAGGGGTAGAAGAGAGCTCCAGCCACGTGGCGGGGCCCAGGTGAGTCTCCTACCCGCCCACACTGCTCCACAGCCTGCTCCATCTCCCGCCAGGCCAGCAGCAGCTTATCTGATGCTGGAAAAAAAAATGGGGTGGGGGGAGGGAGGGAGAGTGAAAACCAGAAACATCATAACACCAAAACAGAAGTTCAGAACTGAATTATAAGATGGCAGAGATACTTCAGAAATAAAGGAGAAGGGAGGAGAGGGGTGTCTTCAAGCTCACTGCAGGGCGCACTCACTGATTCCAAACTCTGTCTGCTCTCTGTACTTCTCCAGGTCAATCTGGATGCTGGTTTTAAAGAAATCCAACTTGGCCTTGAGCTGCTGCGCCATGGAGGCCATGGCATTCTTCATCTTGGAGAGGCAGCTGTTATTCCGAAGGAGGTTCATCCTGCAGGGGTGGTAAGAAGCAGAAACAGAACCTTAGAACACATTTGGCATCTAGGTACACATCCTGTGTAGTAACAGAACCCTTTGCACAGGGAGGCCTGACTATAACCACTCACAGTCACCGATACCAAAACAGCCTCCTAGAATCCTAAGGACAACTTCCCAGGCTGCACTAGCACTTAGGTCTACATCAAAGTTGGAATTAGGTGAAATACAACAGAGAGGCCCAACGCATGCATCCTAACTGGCGAATCCATCAGCACATCCCAGTTAATCAGTGTTGCTAACCCACCAAGTTTCTCCAAGCTCCAAATCTCATGCAGCTGAGCTGCCCAGGCCCAAGTTCTGCACTCCTGCCCCATTTGCTAACCCCTGGCCTAACCTTCTTCCGGCCAGCCCACCCAACCACTCTCTGCCGTCCAAACCAGAGTTTCCTCTTGTCCCTCCTATGAGTTGCTTCTGGATCCCTGCCTCAGCCACCTCTCTAAAGTCAGAGCCAACAAGCAATTTTAAACACATTAGGTAAAGCCAGCACAGTACATGGCAGCTCGCTGTCCCTGCTGCAGCCGGTTGCAGTCTTCCTTCAGCGTTTGAATGCTGTGCCAGACTTGGCCCCACACTTTCCTCAGCTGGAAGAAGGAGAGGTTCCGCTTGGGCTCCTGAACTGGAAACAAACAGTTGTCAGAGAGTAACTCAGCTACTGGGAACCACATCCTGCCCTATGGTGTCGCTGGTATTTTTAAAAGTTATATAATCGCTATACTGTTACATAATTTTAAAGGTATTGTAAAACAGTCATTCAAACATTAGTCTAAACATTTAGGTTCCATCAGCAGTGCGGGTAGAAAGCAAAAAAGCTTCCAACTTGATTGGGAGAACTCCGAGTCAAGCATGGTGACACACCCTGCTACCCCAGCCCTTGGGTGGCCGAAGCAGGGGGCCTCGGGGAGGCTGGGGCAGGCTGAGGTTACAGTTAGCTCAGCCTGTGCTATGGACCACTTGGAGACATAACCACAAATCAACGCACCCACCTACTTCCAACAGAAGCTCTTATTGTCACCACGCTTAAGATTGTATGAAATTTTCAGGAAAGATGAAAATACATCACCAGGTGAGATGGGTCAGTGGGCAAAGGCTCTTGCCACACAACATAGTGACCGAAGGCCAAGCCTTGGGACCCACATAAAGGTAGAGGAAAGAACTGATTCCATGAAGCTGTCTGCTAACCTCTACCTGTTCACTGTGGCACACACGCCCCTGCCAATGACAATAAAGCAATTAACTAAGCGAGTTCTCTAAAGTGCAGCATTAGCCAGAAGTGCTAAAAATGTTTAACTAATCAAGAAGTCTGGGAGATCTTTGAGACATTAGATCTTTGATTTGTTCATTCCAAGGGTGCACCTGTGAGACGGTGGGCTGAAAATGAGAGTAGGTGTGTTATTAAAATGTTCACCAACCAACATGCAGTGGACCACCACAGAACTACTCCAAACAAAGCAATTCCGTGCGCCCTGATGTGAGGACGATGGAAAGGGAGCTACAGAACACCCGTGTTACCGGTTTTTGAGGGGATACCCAAACATTTGATGAGAGCAGTTTTGCTGGAAGGCAGGTGTTCTGACTGGGAACTGCAGCCAAAGTGTTTTCTTTTCACTGTATATTCTTTTTTGGGCATCATTGGGGTTTTGTGTTCCATTTTTTGTTCTTGTGTCGTGTACATATATTAATTTTTTTGAAACCGAGTCTCAGGTAGCCCAGGATGATCTTGAACTTGCTATGAGGCTGAATTACTGATCCTCTTGCTTTTACCCTCCAGCACACATTGGTTATTAAATATAAATGCAACCTCAAAAGTGAATCAAAAAGTAGGTGACATTTCTTAATCTACTGCTCTAGTGAGAAGTGGTTAACCAGTAACCTTGCCTGAACTATTCTCTGAACATCCCAAGAAGGCTTTAGATGCCCAGAACCAGAAAAACAGGTTCCCTCATGTCTCACCCTCCGACTTTATCCCAACTCCCACAACAGAGCGATTTTAATAAGCGATACACTTACGGATACAGCTAACACTTTCAGGTTGGGGCCGGGGGGTGATCTGTGTCTCATAGGTGATTTTACTGTTGTCAAAGAGAAAGACAAGATCCGTGTCCAACGTGAGGCCCTCATTTGGCTGCAGAGGGACAAGAACACAGTGAGCTCGGTGGATTCCACCCTTCCTTTCCGGCTACGTGAGATCAGTCGGCACACTTCCAACTGCTGAGAGCCTACGAGGCCCACGTGACTCAGCCTGCTCTTTGTCCTGCTCTTTTTATCTGAACCTGCTCCTAACTTACATCATGTTCTATTTTATTCTGATTGCTTCTCCTGTGAGCTGCACACATCACAATTCCCTGTACAAAGACCGTTGCTCATCTGCTAATGGGACCTCCAGCTTTAATCTGTTAGCACTTGGGGGCAGGCGCCATGACACCCATTGATGGGTGAGCACAGACACCTAGCACAGCTGTGGAGTAATAAATAGCTTAGGTTGACCAGAAGAGCAGGACATGATTTTGGCAATGGGGGCACAAGAAAGTGTTCGCGGTCTGGAAGTGACAAACTGGAAGTGGAATGATACATGTCTTTCAGTAGGCCTCATGGGGTTGCTGACCCATCAAGCAAGTTGTACCCTGTGTTATTAACCACTTGTTATGGTAGAGCAGTAACGTGGAGTGCGGATGGTCCCCTGGGAGACCACACCAGAGGAAAGCACGGAAGACAGGGCACAGAAAGCCAGGAATCACCTTGCTGTCTGAGATGCACTGGGCAGCGGGCTTGTCGGGGAGCAGCACCAGCCCTGCCTCCTGCAGCAGCTCCTGGTCTTTCTCCAGGATTCCTGTGTCTTCCCGGATTCTGGTCTTTAAGCTCTGCAGACTCTCATCCTCAGTCACAGGGTATGTGTGAACGGTGCCTGTGACCATGTTCAAGATGTGAACCAGCTGCAACACAACCCAGATATTACTGGAAAAAAAATTCTGTTAATGTTTGTTTACCTCGTGTGTCTGTGTGTGTACTGGGAGAGGGGAGCATGAGTGTGCCACAGTACATGTGTGGAGATCAGAGCACGACTTGAAGGAGCTGGTTCTCTCTTTCCACTGTGTAGGTGGTATGGTTGATCCTGGGTCGTCAGGCTTGGCCACAAGCCTGTTTACCTAATGAGCCATTTCACTGTGCCCAAAACAAAATTCTTTACAAGAGGCACATGCATTTGCCAAGACCCTCTGCTACCCCCAATGCCTGCTAGCGAAGGTCTAGTCTTAGTCCCATTTTTCCTCAACAGAAAGCTGGCGACCAATGTCAGTCAGCCCAGTTTTCTTGTCCTCTTATTTCAGCCCAAAGACTCATAGGGGCCTGAATCTCCTCACAAAGCAAAGTGGCTCATGGCCTGCTATGTCTCCCTTCTGCAGAAGAACTTCTGTGTCCCACTGGGAACCACATGGCTGCCTCAGGGCTGCCTTAGCTCTGCTCTCACCTTCAAGTTCAAGATGTCATCTAGGGCTCTGAAACAGCCATTGGGACCGTACTGGGTATCCGTGCCCCTTTGTCGGGGGTGCCACCTGAGCATCATCTGCAGCCACTTCTCCAGGCGTTCAGCCAGGACACTATGGGGAGCAAAGGTAGGAGAGGCCTGAGCCCGGCAGCTTTGTGTGTGAATTCCAAAGCGTGGCCTTGGCTGAGAGCTGCGACTGAGTGCCAAGCTTGCTGTGCAAACACAAGGACCGAAGTTCCATCCCTGAGCCCACACAGGAAAGACTTATATCAGACAAGCGGATCCTTCAAGAGTCAGCCAGCTTGCCCTACTCCTTGAATTCCAGACCATCAGAGACTGTCTTAAAAAAAAAAAAAAAAAGTGGACAGTGCCTGAAGAGTGAAACCCAAAGTTGTGTTCTGGCCTCCACAGCGCGCGCGCGCGCGCGCGCGTGCACACACACACACACACACACACATTAAACAACAACAAAAAAAGCACAGCCTTGAGTATATGTCTCAACAGGACACACATGGAGGCAACCAAATGATTATCAAAACTGAAAATGAGAGACCTGAGAGAAAACACATAAACACTTACAAACAACCTAACAATTCAGGAGCCTCTCTCTTTTCTGACAGGGTCACTCCCTAAGCCTTGGGGTCACTCTGAAGCTTTGATAGTGCATTTGAGAACTGGGCTCTGGCTCAGTGTAGAGTGCTTGCCTGGCTCTGTGGTTCTAGGATCAGAACCATGACTCTGTGTGTACATGTATGTAAACACACAAAGAAAATATTAAAAAATGCAGCCGCACACACATTTCATTAACCTCATTAGTATATAAATTTAATATTTGTATATATTTAATGTAATATTTGTCTTTAGTAAAATTTTATGTTTGTTTAAAAACTATGTATACCAAAGGATTTTTTTAAAAATAAATTTCTTTATAATTTTTTTATCAGTAGATGTTTGATTTATATATACATGCGGTAATATAAACATTTCTTGGGCACAAAGGGATCCCAGCTGTTGGCTGTCCTGAAACACACTGTGTAGACAGGGCTGGCCTCGAATTCACAGAGATCCACCTGCCTCTGTCTCCCCAGTGCTGCCTCTGTCTCTACCATGCTGGGCTCCCAGCAGAAGTTTTAAATAGCCCTGGCCTGGACGCTGAGCTGCTGATTTGAGAACACCCAATGGATGTACTTGACAGTGGTCAACTCCTCCTGCTGCCCCTACACTGCCAGCTTAGGGCTAAGCCCACGTGCCCTTGCTATGCTTAACTTCTTTTCTTCAGATGTCTATGTCTTCTATAGATAACTCTCCCCACGCTCCCCCAGTTGCAGCATATCCAAGGTCGCTCCACACAGCTGTAATCCACATGGCTCCTTCCTCTGTCCTCCAACATGAGCAGCTGTCATGGAGCTTCCTTTTGTATTATGACCCAGTTCTGACTCATTAATCAAATGCTTATACTCTCGCTCTAAGACTAGACCACAACGGCATTCAAACCTCACAGGTTTATTTGTTGAGGCCAAACAAGGAACACAGGACTAACGTATAATCCCCACCCTTAAATGACTTCCTGTGGAGTAAGAGACAAACCCTATGCTGAATATACTTCAAACTAGAGCCATGTCACAGTCAGCCTCAGGTGCCAATGTCATGCTCACAGTCATCTGGAAAGAGAACCTCAAATGAATTTCCTAGAAAAGGTTGGCCAGTGGCCATGTCTGTGAGGCATCGTACTTATTAACTGCTTTAGGGAGGGGCCAGCCTATTGTGGGAAGGGGGGCTGTGTGAGAAAGCCAGGGGACCAGGGGGGCAAGCAGCATCCCCCATGGTTCTGCTTCAGTTTCTACTCTAAGTTCCTGTTTTGAGCTCTTGTCTTAGTGTCCCTCAAAAACAGACTGTCACAGTGTTTAATCACATCAACAGAAAGTAAACTAGAACAAGAGCACTGAGGCCAGTAAAACATATAACAAAAGGTTGTGTGAAATTAGTAGAGATGGTAGAACATTTGCTTAGCACGAACAACGCTAGGGATTCTAGCCAGAAGAAAGTGGTGTACGCCTTTAATCCCAGCACTTGGGAGGCGGGGGCAGGTGAATCTCTGAGTTCCAGGGCAGCCTGGTCTACAGAATGACTTCCAGGACACCCAGAGATACACAGAGAAACCCTGTCTTGAAAAATCAAAACCAAACCAAAACAAAAAAACAAAGCCAGAGATTCCATCTCCAATATAGCAAAAACCAACCAACCACTCACCCAACCAACTACCCAACTAATCAACCAACCAAACAAACAAACAAACAAACAAACAAACAAATCAACTTTTTTCCCTAGGGAGATGAGCTATAGGAATTCATTCTAAGTCTAATATTAAGACAGACTGCTCAAATTCTCAATCATGGGATGGTTTTATGATATCCATTCAAAAGTAATCAGAGGGTCTGGAGATGACTCAGTGGTTAAGAGTATGAGGTTTGGTTCCCAGCATCCACATGGCAGCTCAAGATCAGCTGTAACTCCAGTTCCAGGGGATCTGACCTTTCTTCTGGCTTCCACAGGCACCAGGTACTCAAACATACACATTTTTTTTTTTAAAAAGTTATTAGATGTCACCTCAAACCTTTATTTCTAAGAAGAGAAGAAAAATATATACAGCACTAATATCCCATTGCCTCACCTGTTAAGATTATTGGGAAAGGGTAAGGAACTCGAAAACTTCACTGTTCCATTCAAGTCTTCACTAACAACGATGTCCACTTCGCTCTTCTGCCGGACTTTGTTATGCCTGTAGATGTAATTTTAATCTTATGTCACTCAGTGGCCAATACCCAGCTTACACTTGCAATGTCGCTTTCAGCAGTACACTTTTTCTAAAACAACGATCCGTATGCCACAGGATGCTTCTTTAAGGGTTAGAGATGGTCTGCACTGTGGTTAGGGCCTTGGCTCAGTGGCGTGACTGGGGCTGTGGTTCAATCTGCACCATTTAAACAAAACAAACAAAATGTGGCCAGTGCTGCCTATGTGAGATCTTGAAGGGCAACCTCCAGCAAGGCCTCTCATGGCCTCGTGTCCTAAGTTCTCCAGGAAGCACTTGACATCTGTGTCATCCTAGACTACGTTTCTAATTTCCTCTACCCTTTGTTTATCAAATGGAAGCTCTCATAAAAAAAAAAAATAAGATTTGATTTTCTTTTTTCTTTAAAGATTTTATTTTATGTATGAGTGTTCTATCTGCATGTATGCCTGCAGGCCAGAAGAGGGCATCAGATCCCAGTATAGATGGCTGTGGGTGCTGGGAATTGAACTCAGGACCTCTGGAAGAGTAGACAGTGCTCTTATCTGCTGAGCCATCTCTCTAGCCCAAGATTTAATTCTCAGTTTCACTTCAATGTGTGTGGATATGAGCCTCCTGTGGGCAGCCTGATGTGGATGCCAAAAATCAAACCTAGGACCTCTGAAAGAGGTCATGTCTCCAGTACAGCGCTCATGTTTTGAGGGAGGATAAAATTGGGGTTCTGAACCATGATAATTGTGTACACATCACATTTATTTGAGATGTAAAATGTGCACACACTTGCCGTGGCATGCCTGTCAGAGGACACCTTAAGGGAACTGGTTCTCTCCTTCTACCACAAGGCCTCCAGAGATAGAACGCAGGCTGTCATGCTGAGTGACAAGTGCCTTTATCCACTCAGCTACTTCGCAGGCCCATACTTCCCTTTAAAAATATGTGGCTAACATTTTTTTCTAGAATAAATGAGCTTTTACATTTTCTAACATAGGGGTATTCCTGTGTTATTTGAATTTGTATTTCCTACGTATTTGAACGAGTACTGGAGGGGAAAAAACTTAAATCCAGGTGGCTTCCAACCTTCCTGGTAACAAGGACAAGTTAAATTTGAATAATGCTTCATAAATGACCAAGTACTCTGCCAGCATTCCTTTGGTTTCAGTGGTGACCCCATGTGGTGACATTATTTTTAGTCTGCCATTTAGTGGTAAGGAAATGAGTAGGTGTTGTCCAATATTAGACAAACTGGGGAGGGACAGGACAAAGGATTCAAAATCTGGTATAACTTCTAGTGTCTCAAAGTCCAAATACGTCTTTCCCCTAAAAGGGTCATTCAAATTAAAAACAAAGTGCTTTAGTCTTAAGCAGTTATCACTGGCAAAATGTAAATGGCCTATCTAGGGCAGACAGGAAGTAGGAGAGGGGCTGTATATATGGTAAAAGCTGCTGGCATACAGCTCTGGACACTGATGGTGCAAGTTGGGGTCTCCGGGGCTTCTGACTACAGAAAACAGTCTGGTGACAGGAAACTATAAATGGATGCATTAAGCAAATCATAGGCCACCTGGGCTGAATGTCTTGTCATTTGATGACAATGTTAATAAAACATTAAAAGCCCAGGAGACAAGGTCTTCTCATGAACAATTCCTTACCGGGTTCCAGTGAAATTGGCTTCTAAGTAGCCAACAGTAAGGATGCTTCTAGGGGAAAGATTTTGCAGCCAACAGACATACTGTGAAGATGCCGAGCCACCGAGGGTGTTCTCAGTTCTATACTTATCTTGTTACAAGCAGAGAAAAGTTCAATATTTGTGATGTTTTCCTCTGTTGTAGAGACAGAACCCACCAACTTTGAAAAGTCAACATTTGAAATGAGGACAAAATGACCAATCCCTTGGTTAACTGAAACCAGTATAGTACAAACAGTTTAAGGTTACTTTACTCTGTGGTCACTTTATAATGTGTGACTGTGAACTGAGTGCCTAATTCTCCCGTACCCATTTTAGAGCCCTGGGCTGAGAGACCAGAGCCTGGCTTGTAAGTAGCCATCACAGGACAGTGGCTTTCCAGAGCGTGCTCTGCCTCTGCCAGCACGCGGGCCTAACTGCAGAGCTGATGTCTGCTCCTGCCACCCAAAGCTTTCTCCTAGAGCCTAGGTCAAAGGCTGTGCTTCCGTTTTTACTAGAAATAGTTTCATGGGGATGTGGCTCACGGTCAAGTGTTTACTTCAGCATGGAAAAAAAAAAAAAAAAAAAAAAAGAAACCCTGGGTTCCATCCCCAGCACTAAACAGAACTAGGTGTGCAGCATGTGCCTGCGATTCCAGATTCTGGGCGCTGGAGGCAGGAGGAGCAGAAGTTAAGGGCATCTTCTGCAACGTAGTTTTCCTGGGGTAAATACTTGTCCTCTGAAAAGGTTTTTATAAATTATCTTATTTTATTTTTTATTTTTTCACTAATCTTACAAGGAACTTAGGAAAATGAAGACCTCAGTGTTAAGACTGGCCCAGGGAAAAGGTCAGACTATACCCCTGCAGAAGCATGATTCTCAACAACCGTCTGGCAGGTAGCAAAAGACACATGAAAGCCTTCAACATGTGTGTACTCTTTCAATCTGTTAGTTCTATTTATAGGAATGTAGAAATAGCTAGATAAATAGCTGCGTGTGAGCAACAGCTTACCTACGACGATGTTATTTGTGGTGTTATTTTAAGGAGCACAAATTACAGACCATTAGGTTTTCCAGCCATGGACTACGCTACACTACAGCACTACAGTGACCGCGAAGACCACCAAGGGGAACTTCCAAAGCCCAGGAGGACATACAGCCTGTCCAGTGTGAGTATGAAAGCAGGTTACAGCAAAGGGCATACAAGAACTATCCTTCCTTCCTTCCTTCCTTCCTTTCTCTCTCTCTCTTTCTTTCTTTTTTTTCTATCCTTTCTTAAGAAGACAGACAGACATGATTGCTCACTGATTGTCTCCAGATCATCTGGTTATAGATGATTGTTTTCTAAAGTTAAAAAGAAAATTCTAATTTTAGTATGTATGCTACCAAAGTCAGGACTTTTAACTATTTCTATCTTCTAAAATACTACGAAATTAATCTGTGGGGCAAACTGTACAGCACTTTTAGACTCCAGACAAAGATTTAGGTGCATGTGTGTGCACTCGCGTATGTGTGTGTTGTAAATAAATTGCTCTGAAGGAAATTTTGGTGTCAAGTGCTCTCAAGGCACAGATAGAACAGTGCTGGATTCTGATACCACTGGAGCATAAAGAGGATGACACCAAACAAACCGCTGCAACACATGTGCACAGTACCCCAAACTAGCAGCTGTCATGCGTCTTTGGGGAGGGGGACCAGGAAGCATGAAAACTTACTTGAGATGGTCTTTTCCATCGTACTTTTTATTCTTTTGAAGTATAAAAATGTAAACTGATTTCTACTCTAGACACTACTTTAAGTAAAAACTTGCTACATGAAGCCTTACTGTTGACAAATTTTACTACGTGTGTAAATATTCCTTCATTACATGACAGGTGTGCACATCTGTTCTCACTAATAATTCACTAACATTTTCAGTGTAAACACACAGTGACACAAGGGTCTGTAGTGTTCCAATTAGTTGGGGTTGACCCTGTTAGGCCAGTGTTACATTTACAGATGTTGCTAGCAACTGCTGTTTAGCTGAAGGTTGAGGAGCTTGCGCGGCCATCACTGGGTCTAAGGGAGAATAGGCCGCCCATCATTTGGGTCTAACATGGGGACCAGAAAAGGGCTGAGTGACCAGACATGGAGCCAGGCGCCTACTCTCGCTGAGATGCCCCAGCCCTCCCCCACTCACCACTGCACTGGCTGCCAGTTAGGGAGAAAGGGCCGGAAGCCAGTGACACACTCGAAGGCGAGGGTTCCGAAGCTCCAGTAGTCAACGGTCACCGTGTACTTCTGCTGCTCCAGCAGCTCCGGAGCCTGCAACACACGGGAGGCCACCGAGCTGTCCTCTCTCGGGTCGGAAGAGGCACCAGACCATAGAGCCCCCCACCCCATCACCAGCGCACAGTGTGCCCACTCAGCAGTGAGGAGATGAGCATCTGAGCAGGTTCAGCTGTGGGCCTCTGAGATCTCCTGCACGGTACACTCTTAATGAGACTGTGTCAACCACAAGTGTTGCCAGGAGAACGGAGGGGGCAGGGTCCTGAGGGGTCACTTCAAGGTCGACCAGAGGAAATCAATTATGCATTTCACAATTATTTAATTTTCCCCCCATTTAAAAATGAGGTAGTATTTCAGGGACTTATTGAGGACCACATGCAGGACCCGTTCCATGGTGTTGTATAGAGATGGAGAGAGAAGCTATGTCCAACGGACAAAATGACATCAGCTTGTACACGCCGAACACATAGCATAGTTGCTGAACCAAGTAACCCTGAATCAAGTAACATAATTCACAACCAAGCAGTAAAAAGCCAAGATGTGTTACTGTGCAGGTTAAGAGAGCTGGAGTGACCCAGGAGGGTGACGAAGCCTAGGGCAGAACGTGAACTGGGACCAGAAGGCCCAAGGGAGACACATAGAAAGAAACAACCCAGGAAGCTCTCCCACAGCAAAGCTCAGAGACACCCATCAGGATCTATATGGACACGTGAGACTCACAGCAGGGCCAGGGGTTTGAAGCCAGGAGAAATTTCGGCTAAAATTTCATGATTAGTTAAGTCTCTTGGAATAGCTCTGGCCTGGCAGTTTCATTCACACAAGTGAACAATGTGACCTGGCTTCCCGAGTGGGAAGCAGAGGGAGCCCTATGTGAATGAAATCCCGAGTGAGTGTGTGCTGTTGACATGGACACAGCCATGTCAAAGACCACAGCCTCAGAGCCATGGCAAAAACAGCAAAGCCTTCCACACTGGGGTGGGGCTCAGGAATGCCAAAGCTTTCCTAGGGGATCCAAGTGTGAACACTGAGAGCGTGGGCAGAAAATCTGCACCACACTCTCCCCTCCCCCAATACTGCCAGCTTGAAGACTGCGCCCTCCTCAGAGAGTGCTCCTATGAAGACAGCTGAGCCCAAACTCATCTCCACCTGACCCTTATTCAGATACGTGCAGCGACCTTGCCTCTCTGTTATAACACAACGACCTTTGGAATGGCTGTCGCTTCTCCACCAGAGGGCTTCAGCCATCCAACCCCAGCATCCCCGCCTGACGGTCAGCTTCACTCCCTTGCCACCTCTAGTCAGGTCAAGTCCCTGGAGCCAGACAAGGACTTGCCAATCATGGTCAGAGCCTGGGTTCACCTCACTTGATTGTTGCTGAGCTATCGAGGACTGCAGAGGGTCCTTAGCAACATATAATTACATTACAACATCATATGTATACGGGCCCTGAATGACATCCCTGCAGTCACCCTTGGGAAAGCTGCACTCCATACAGTAGAAGATGAAGAGGGGCCCCAGCATTCCAGCTGATAGGCTAGATGGGAATTCAGACAAACAAGACATAATTTTTTTCTTAAGAAACAGGTTGTACTCTCTTGTATGTTTTCAATCACTTCCCCCCGGTGGGCCTGCCTTGCCAGGACACTGTGGCAGAAGATTGGCTCGGTCCTGATACAACTTGATGGGATAGGTAGGTGGTAGAGGAGGGCTCCAGTTTTCTTAAGGGTGGAGGAGGGGGAATATGGGGAAGAAGGAAGGAGGTTGGGACTGGGAGAAGAGGAGGAAGGGGACAAAAATGGGATATAAAGTGAATAAATAGATCAATAAAATAAGTAGTAAATAAATAACAAAACAAAAAAGAAGGCGAAATAGGATGCAACCAGGCGTGGCGTCATATCTTTAATCCTTGTACTCTGGGAGGCAGAAGCAGGTAGATCTCTGTGAGTTTGAGGCCAGCCCGTCCAGGACAAGGCCAGAGCAAGTCCAGGACAACTAGGGCTACACAGAGAAACCCCGTCTTGAAAAACCAGAAGAAAGAAAGAGGGTGTTCATGCTCTTTTAACCCTGAGACCTTCAACCTTTGCTGTTGTTTATTGAACTGCAGATTCCATCATTCAATTACAGTCTAATGGCTATGATCACCAAAAAGGAAAATATTAGTAATTCTTTAGTGTCTCTGTCTACCCCTACCCCTGACATTTAAAGACAGGAGCTCACTGTGCAGTCCAGGCTGGCCCCAAGCTTGTGTTTTTTTCTTGTCTCCACCATCCAAGAACTTCGATTATGGGCAAGTGCTGACAGTACTGGTGCGCAGCACGCCGCCCCAGCCTGGTAAGTGTTTCTTGAGTGTGCTCATTCGCTACCTCCCCACTCTGCCTGAACAGCCGTGCAGGTGCCTATCCTAACAGCCTCCTTACAACCCTGCTCTTGTTTGGTACAGTTCACTCTCCACATCCTCATTCAAAGCCAGCCTCTTCAGTGAAGCCCTTCAGTGCTGTTCTAGAGATTTTACAATACGGTTTAAGACCTTTAAAGCTAGTAAAAAAGGATAACAATTTGTTCCTTCTTTCTTTCTCCCCAGTTTCAACTCCAGAGCCTCTCTTTATTCTCTAAGCCTGAGCCACACAATTGGATCTTCCAATGTACTATGCTTTTGCCAGTATCTCCTTTCCCCTCCTTCTACTGCCATCACCCACTTTAGCCCTTCACCTTTAGGTCCAGACTTAGTTAGGTCCTCCTCAGATATATCCTTCGACAGCCTGCGCTTTTATCAGTAGCACTCATGACAGTGGTGGTTTCTGAATTATCTGTGTATCAAGGTAACGAATGTTTGTCACTTCTCAAATGCTAAGCTCTTGATGAGCAGAAAACTGCTTCCCTCCCTTCCTGTTGTGCTAACAGCTCTGAGCACAGTCTCTGGCACATGGTATTCCTGAATGAGCCGCTCAGATAATAATCCAGTAACCACATAACACACAGAAGGGAAACCACAGCCAGCCCCACCTCTTCCTCACTGGCTCATGGGACCCTCTAAGAAGCCCAACCTCTACACATAACCAGATAAAACCCTGTGACGCAGAGAACTCCCATGGTCTGGGGAAAGGCACACAGGTGCAGCCCTTCTCACAGTAGAGCAGAGACTAAATTTGTGAGTATATTATCAATTCAGAACTCACACAAAAATTCTAAATATCCACAGAGCCAGCAAGGCTGAGATGCAGGCAGGCAGGACAGACCCACAAACATATACACTGGGGAGACTAAGAAGCAAACACTTGAGCCCATTTCTTACCAGGTACTGCAGGGTCCCCACAAATGACGTGCACAGACTGCCCTGATCCAGTTCCTTGGCGTATCCTAGATCAATAATTTTGTGTATTAACTGGAAAAGAAAGGGGAGGGGTGGGGAGAAGAAGTCTGAAGGCTGTAAGAAAACTTTTACAACAGTTCAGGAAGTTGCCATTAGAGCAAAGACATTTCTGAATTCCCAAAGGACACTGGTTCCAAAACATCATAGAGCCACCACATGCACAGGAGAATGCCCTCAGCAGGGTAGATTCAGGGCACCACAAGAATGTTGGGCAGATGCTTTTCTTGGTCTGCCATCATCAATTAAGAGCCTGCATACCAGCTCTCAAGGTCACTAAGCCTGATTTGTAACAGGAGAGACAAGGCCAGCCCCTGCTCAGGAAATACCCAGACTTACTGGAAGAATGAGTGGTCTACAAGCCCGCCACAGTCCTGGGTTAGGCCAGGAATTGTGAAGGGAGCTGTGTCAGGGGGATGGGCGACCCCAGGTTGAACCAAACTGGGAAAGGTTACAGAATCTAAGTCCATGGCCAGCCTATGGCCACACTTGAGCAGGGCAGCCATTGAGAAGGGCCACAAATAGCTTGTGTGTGATGGCAAGCTGGACCACACCGAAGATGGGCTGATGCCAGCTCCTCTCTCTTCTCAGCCATCTCCACAACCAACTTTAGATCATTCTGACACCAAAAGATAAGGCTTACAAAACAAAGAAGTGTTAGGTTGAGGGTGGAGTGGTATAACATTTTCTTATCAGATTCCTATGACTTGGACAATTAACCCATGATACATTCAGAGTTGGAGAAACAAACAAAACAAACCCAATGTGATACATCCAAGCTTGCCTCAATCTGCCAGCAAGAACAGTTTGTAGTGTTGTTTCAAAAAAAAAAGAAAGAAACCAAGAAAGAAGACATTTTTAAGATCATCAGAACACCTTAAGTGAGTACAGGAATAAGCAGCTCACAAGGCACATCCCTTTCCTGCCCGGGCAGCCCCCTGGTAGCCTGAGACTCCCTCAGCCCTGGGAAGCCACTCACTCTTTGCTCTCCTTGCTGCAGAACGATGTTTTCTGGCTTCAGATCACGGTGGATGATCCTGTTTTCATGAAGGTACCTAAGTGCCGATGCTGAGGGAGTGCAACGGGAGTGATATTTCATTATGTCTAGAAAATGCTTTTTTGTTTCAGAACTGACTAGCCTTTAAGAGATATTACGGTCTTGACACATTTTCTGACTTTTAAGCAGATTGGAGTTGACACTGTTCAGGCCAGGGGAAGGGGACCAGGACAAGAGAGCAGGAATTTAACTATGAGATTTTGGCTTATCCACTGATAATATAGCTCAGTTAGCACGGTGCTTGCCCAGCATGCATGGAGTGTTAAAGCACTGCATAAAAAGACAGGCCATGGTGGTGCGTGGCAGCACTTGGGAGGTGGAGGCGAGAGGATCAAGTTTAAAGTCATCGTCTGGGAAGATCAAGGCCAGACTACAGGAGACCCCACTGACAAAGGGGAAGTAGGCAGGCAGAAGTAGCACAAAGACATTTTGAAAATTCATGGTGAAAGACATCATAAACAAAGTTCAAAGAAGAAGGGACTAGGGAAAGGGTATCTGTAGGATATACCAGGTACCACGGCAAATAAAGCTAACAAACAGCCTTTAAAAATCAGCAAAAAGGCAAAAAGCCAGGTATAATATAGCACAGGCCTATAATACCAGCTACTTAGAAGCCTGAGGCAGAAGAGATGAGACACTCATAGCTAGCCTGGGCAACTTGGCGAGACTGTCTCAAAATAAAAAAGTATAAAGAGGTTGGGACGTAGCTAGCTCAGTGGTAGAGCACCTACCTAATGAAGATGAAGGCTTGGCCTCCATACCCAGTGTGGGGAAAACAAAACAAAAACAAAGGCAAAGAAAAGAACAGAGCGACTTACAAAAAAATACAAATGGCAAGTTAGTGAACAGATGCTCATACTTGTATCAAAAACTGCTGCCTAAGCAGTAACAAGGACACTCTACTACATTGCTGGAAGGAACACAAATACGTATTTTGGGAAAGTAATATGGCAAATACAGAACTATATATCTCCATCTCTCCATCCATCCATCCACCCACCCATCCATCCATCCATCCATCCACCGATCTGTATCTTTCTTTCTCTCTCTCTCTATCTGGGTCGACCTACAGTCTCTGAAAACATCACTGTTTAGCAAAGCTTTTTATTTTATGTGCATTGTTATTATTTTTATTTCATTATAGCACAAAGGAGAGGGGTTGGGAGTGTGGCACAGTGGCAGAGTACTTGCCTGCTGTGCACAAGAATCCGGGTTTGACCACCAGCATCCAGGAAGGGGGAAAGGAAGGAGAGGGAAGAGAAAGAAAGCCTGGACGCAGTGGTGCCTGTAATCCAGGGCTCGGGAATTGCAGAGTGATCAGGAGTTCAAGGCAAGCATGGGTTAGATATGGAGAATGCCTCAAAAGATCTTTCTTCCAAAACAGCATCATAACACACATAAGTGGATACTGCATAAGGTAGAGTAACAGAGAGATAAGCTGACATTCAGTTGTAATCAAGGAACGTCTAGTTAAATTATGATCGAACCATATTATACTAGGCAATTTTTTGAGTATGTCTGTGGTATATGTGTTCACATATGTGATGTATGTGCATGTGAAGGCCAAAGGTGTCAGGTGTCTTCCTCAGTAACTTTCCTCCTTGTTTTTCAGATTTTCTGAAGCTTGAGTTTCACCAGTTCATGTAGATTGGTTCACCAGCAAGCTCTGCCTCCCCAGGCATGGGATTGCAGGTGTGTATTTCTACCCTTTTTACTTTGGGTGCTAGTAATCCAAACTCAGGTCTGTATGCTTGCACAGCATGCTGGGTAATTTTACATCAACTTGAAACAAGCTGGAATTGTGTAAGAGGGGACTATGAGAAAATGCCCCTACCAGAATGGTCTGTGGGCAAGCCTATAAGACATTTTCTTGATTGAAAATTGATTTGGAAGGGCCTGGGTCACTGTGGGTGTGGCACCCGCGGGTTGATAGTCTAGAGTGCTGTAAGAAAGAAGGCAGAGAAGCTGGAGTGATGGCTCAGCAGGTCAGAGCACTGACTGCTCTTCCTAAAGGACCCAGGTTCAATTCCCAGCACCCACATGGCAGCTCACAGCTGTCTGTAACTCCAGTATCTGACAGCCTCACACAGACATGCATGCGGGCAGAAACGCCAATGCACATAAAATAAAAACAAATCAATTATTTAAAGAAAGCAACCGGGCCAAGCAAGCCAGCAAGCAATCGTCCTCTGCTTCACTTCTTGTCTCCACGTTCCTGTCTTTGTCCTGACTTCCTCGGCGGGTGGGTTGTGGTGGGTTGTGGTGGGTTGTGCCGGGTTGTGCCGGACTGTGCCGGACTGTGCCGGACTGTGCCGGACTGTGCTGGTCTGTGCTGTGGGAAGGTACGGGGAAACACACCCTTTCCTCCCCGGGTAGCTTTTGGTTATGATGTTTTACTGAAGCAGCAAAAACTGACCTAAGACACAGAACAAGCCCTTCACCAACCGAATCCTCTCTCCAGTGACTGTAATAGGCAACTTCTTTAAAAACGCCTTAGATCTACAATTTTTGACTTACAAGGATGGTGGTGGTATCAGACCCCACAAACTTTTTTTTTTTAACTGAAAGTTGGGCATGGTGGCATGTGCCTACAATCTTAGCACAAAGATGAGGCAGAGGTCAGCCTGATGTAAATCTCTAATTCAAAGCCAACTTAGGCTACATGGAGACCCTGGTTCACAGTGGGGTTAAAATCAGTAACAACACAGAGAGGTTTGATAACGAGCCCTTTCCATGCCATATCACAAACATCTATAAAGCATGTCCATACACTAATCCATACCTACACATAAACCTACACACACAGTACTGCCCCTATCAGGATGAACTGAGCTATTTGGAATCCCTGGCAGACTGAGGAGGTGGTCATCCCTGCAGGCAGTGGGTGAGGGGTACTCATCAGCAGAGAGGAGAAGAAAAGCCTTCCGCAGAAACCAGGCAAGCAGGCTGACCTAGGAAGGCCTTTCAGATGGGTGTTCATAAAACAGTCCGACAGAGAGAGGAAAGAGCTCCCACTCAGAGCGGTAAGGCACACTGCGAAACCACTGATCATATTTCCCCATTCAAAGCTGGCCCTGGCATTTCCTGCTCGCTTCTTATTTTCCTTCATAATGGTCAACAGTAGACTCCTATGTCTAATTGCAATGCACACAAAGGCCAAGATTTGCTGTTGTCCATGTGCCCAAAAAATTCCACTCAACTGTTGACTTACAAAGCCTAATGCTTTACAGTAATATTTTAATTGTTACTAATCTTTAGTAGTAAAATAGGTCATGGTGTTTTACTGAAGGAACAGAATCCTACCTAAGACAAATAGCAAGTACTTCATCAACTGAGCCATCTCTCCATTGACTATAATAGGTGACATTAAAACAATTAAGGCCTACAGTTTTTGACTGTTGATGATGTACTGCCAAGTGGATGCATCCGACCCCATAACCATTTATTTTTAAAGTAAAAGCTTGGGCATGGTAGCATATGACTATAATCTCTGCATGGAGACACAAAAGCCAAATCATTACATGCATACAACCCGGAAGAGAGGAAAGGTACTTTTCCTGAACCTGAGCATGGGCAGTGAGGCACAAGGCCATGACATAACTTAAAATGCTTGCCCAAAGAGCAGCCACTGTAGTTGGTGGTCATCTGGAGAGCAAGCATTACAGTGTTTGGTATGTGGAAGCTGAGTTTCACTGAGATTTGAGCAAGTACTCTCAACTAGACTAAAACAAGGGCAAATACCTTAGGGCAAACAATGTGTGCATGAGCTACGAGTCCCAAGAACCCCCTTGTGGTGGCTTGAATTAAAATGCCCCCCACAGGACCACAGGGAGGGGCACTATTAGGAAGTGTGGACTTGCTGGAGTAGGTGTGGCCTCATTGGAGGAAGTGTGCCTCTAGGGGCTCTGAGGTCTCAGAAGCGCAAGGCTGGCAGCCCTACTGGCTCAGTCTCTTCCTGTTGCCTGTCGATGCAGATGTAGAACTCTCAGCTCCTTCTCCAGCACCATGCCTGCCTGCATGCTACCATGCTTCCTGCCATGACAATAATGGACTAAATCTCTGAACTGTAAGCCAGCCTCAATTAAATGTTTTTATTTATAAGAGTTGCTGTGTCAGGCTGGCTCAGCGGTTAAGAGCACAGTGTACTCTACCAGAGGTCCTGAGTTCAATTCCCAGCAACCACATGGTGGCTCACAACCATCTTTAATGAGATCTGATGCCCTCTTTTGGCATGTAGACGTACCTGCAGATACAGCACTCATCTACATAAAATAAAAGAAAAAAGAGTTGTTGTGGTCATTGTATCTCTTCACAGCAATAAACCCCTAACTAGAGCACATGGATTTCAGAGAACACAATTACCTTGTAGGCTAAGACTGTCACCAGGCCCGGAGACGAGGGATGGCAGGCAGTAATAAAACCTCTAACTGTGTGTTAATAGCTGCTCATTTTGACACTTAATGTTAGCAAACTTAAATCTTGAATGATGTCTAAAACCAAGGGACCAGACAGAATTCTAAGCACTTTCTTGGACTGAGTAGAGCCCATTTGGCTAAATAGTAAGCATTCTGACAGGCAAGGTCTTTAAACGGCTTCTTTTAAAAGAAGCTGTAGGCAGGCTGACCGTATGTTCCACAAACAGCCCCTGAGGAACAGTGTCAGAAAGTTGATGAAATTGTCTCAATCTCAGAAAACGTAAACTGGTTTAAACTGGATGAGACATACAACATTGAGGCTAAGAAAATAATGCTGTGTCTGTAAGTTTATAAAAAAAAAAAATTCTAAAACCTTGGATGTAGTGGCAGACTATACCCATAAAAACGGAAAATCACAACACCCAAAAATGTGGCTAATCTCTCATGCTCCAATTAGAGAAGAGAGCTGTAACAAACAATCATTTTAGATGACACTGTAGGGCTTAGCATGCATAAGGTCCTCGGTTTCCTCCCCAGCACTGAAACAAACACTTCTCTGGACTCCACCTTGGCCTGCTGAAGCAAGGACTCTACAGAGAGATCCAGGCTGCAGTACCTGCAGCAGGCAAAGAGCATCACCATTCTTGCCAGAATGGTACCCAGGTCTACACCCAGGACTTCCCTGGGATTACAGGAAGAATAGGACCTGAATTCCATACCATATTTTTCAGATGCTAACTATAAGTCAAGAAACAGATAAGACTCAACCATGTTTGTAGCAGCTCTATTTGTAATAGCCAGAAGCTGGAAACAACCTAGACATCCCTCAGTGGAGGAATGGATACAGAAATTGTGGTACATCTATACAATGGAATACTACTCAGCAATTAAAAACAAGGAAATCATGACATTTGCAGGCAAATGGTGGAAACTAGAAAAGATCATCTTGAGTGAGGTATCCCAGAAGCAGAAAGACATACATGTTATATACTCACTCATAAGTGGATATTAGCCATATAATATAGGATAAACATACTAAAATCTATAGTCCTAAAGAAGCGAAACAACAAGGAAGACCCTAGGGAAGATGCTCAATCCTCATTCAGAAGGGCAAATGTGATACACACTGGAAGCAGGAGAAGACAGGAAACAGGACAGAAGCCTACCACAGACAGTCTCTGAAAGACTGATTGGGCTATCGAAGTAGAGGCTGAGACTCATAGCCAAACTTTGGGCAGAGTGCAGGTAATCTTATGAAGGAAAGGGGACAAGAGCTCCAAAAGGAGACCACCAGAACAAAAACAAAAACAAAACAAAACAAAAGCCTGAGCCCTGGGACCCCTGCAGAGACTGATACCCCAACCAAGGACGGAGAGGACCTACCCTGGCTCATATGTAGCCCATAGACCCATTCTCCAAGTGGGTTCCCTAATAAGGAGGGCAGGGGCTTTCTCTGGCATGAACTCAGTGACAGGCTCTTTGATCACCTCCCCCTGGGAGGTGTAGCCTTGCCAGGCCACAGAGGAAGACAATGCAACCAGTCCTGATGAGATTTGATAGGCTGGGTGAGGAAGACCTCACCTATCAGTGGACTAGGGGAAGAGCATTGGGGGAGAAGAGGGAGGGAGGGCGGCATTGGGAGGAGATGAGGAAGGAGGACACAGCTGGGATATAAGTTGAATAAATTGTAACACATAATAAAAAAGAAACAGATAAGAGCAGCCAGGCTTCTTGGCAGAAAAGTGTTTGGGAAGGGGTGCGCCTGTGAAATCCCAACTTTCCACACAAGTCTTTTTTAAAAATATTTATTTATTTTCATTTTATGTGCATTTGTGTTTTGTCTGAATGTATGTCTGTGTGAGGGTGTCAGATCTTGAAGTTACACACAGTTGTGAGCTGCCATGTGGGTGCTGGGATTTGAACCCCGATCCCCTGGAAGAGCGAAGAGCAATCAGTGCCCTTAACCACTGAGCTATCTCTCCAGTCCCCCCATACAAGTCTTAAGAGCTTATTAAGCTCCTTCCAGGATGCTTGTCTGACATATGTTCCACTAGGAAGAAATGGGAAGACAAAGCAAACCAGAAAATGTTGAGGGGCAGAAATCAGAAAACAAAGAAAAGGCAAAAACCAACAGGTAGGGGCTGGGGGTGTATCTTAGTGGTAGAGTGTTTGGGAGAAAGGGCAGAAGAAAGAAAAGAAGAGAGGGAGGCAAAGAGGGAAGGATGGAGGAGGGCCAATCAACGGGTGGTCCAAGGTGCCAAGGAGCAATAAAAGTAAGAGGATGTCTGTGCTGTTAATGAAAACGGAGAGCCTCCCGTAAGCTACCCAGTTTGTTGCTGGACTTTCCAGACAAAACAAACTTAGTGTGGCTCCACGTTTCTGTACTAAAATAGTTTCTGTGACTAATAAGCAGGGCAGAAGGTGGCAAGATGAAATGTTAAGATGAAAGTGCACAATCATTCTCTCATTTGCTCAACGACCATGAAGAGCACAGGAATTTGGTGAGGGAAATCAAGAGTGATGAGTAAAGTCTCAGGCTATTTCTTAGAGGGTGGGAAGGCTGAGGGTCTCTGGTGCAGTAGAGGGACAGCACCCTAAGGGAAGCAAGTGCAGAGCAAGCAGGGGAATGGAGATGTGGGCTGTGGGAACCCTGTGCACACTGGGCTGGCTGCCATGGTTGGAGACAGGCTGGATGAAGAGGTCTGTAGTGAACAGTGATAGAAGCGTCCTTGCAGGCAGGCATAGCGATGTGATGCGCATCTGCAGCCCCAGGCAGTACTCGGGGGCTGAGGAGAGAGGACTGCTGTGCGTTTGAGGCCGGGCTGGGCTACCCAGTGAGTTCAGGGATACAAAGAGCAAGTGTCCTTCTGAAAAATGGATTAGCAAAAGCCAGTAAGGAGGCCAGTATGAGGTTCTGACAATGACTTGCTATGATAATGCATCAGTGGAGGCAGGGGGACAGGCAGGGAGAATGGGATATTCTACGAAAGACACACTGGATTTGGTGACCTTTGTAGTCTTGCTGTTTTTGTTTGCCTGTTTTGAGACATGGCCTCCAGTCTCTGGCCCAGGCTGGCATTGAACTTGCTATGTAATTGAAGATGATTTAAAATTCCAGATCCTACCACCTTGCCAAAAGCTACCCTCTGACCACTCTGCTAACCCAGCCTGGGTGAGGCTGGGGTTCCACCAGCACCAAGAGGGCAGGGGAAGCTCTCTCTTACTCCCTGCTCCCCCACATGAAGAGATAATACTAAAGTTACCACACCAAGGAAGTAAAATGTCATATGAAGCAACAGTCTAGTTAGTGTATATGAGCCCATCGTTTAAAGAGCTTTTCATGCTTGTTCCTTTGAGACATGGTTTCCATATTGTAGCCCAGGTTAGCCTCAAACTCACAGTAATATTCTTGCCTCCATCTTCCAAATACTAAGACCACAGGTGTGAAGCACCGGTCCCATTTAGAGACTTTTAATAGCTATGTGATAGATATGAAAGAATAACATCAGAGAAAATTAGCTTGAGGCAGCCATAAAAAAAAAAAAAAAGAAAAAAAAAAGTTGCCCATGGAAAACAAAAGAAAATCCCCCCAAATTTCTAACCTGCCTTCAACCCAATCCAACAAAAGCAAATTAGTAATTTGGCTGCTGATTTTAAGAGATATAATCAAGTAAACATCCAAGCAAAACACGGGTGTGTGAGACACGAGGCAGAGTATCATGAAGACAAGTGGAATTCTAGACTCCGGCTTAGATGCTGCAGGTGTGCAGACAGGCCTTTTCCAGCAGATGCATGGACCAACACATGGGAGAATCAGAGGCCAGCAGCGGGCTGCCCACTCCAGTCAGATAACACTGTAGAAGGCACCCAGCCTTCCACAGGACTCCACTCAAAAGGAAATGACAGAATGCATAGAAAGGTGGCTATTTCATATGCCGGATGCTTGGATCTTAGCCTTAAAAACATGATTGTCTGACCCCACTCCCCAACCTCTCCAACAGCCCTTTTGCCTTCCCTCTACCCAAAGGAGCAGAGTAAGAGGCAGCAGACCCACACTGGCAAGGTTTTTGAAAGATAGAGGCCTCTGGACTGCAAGGTTAGAGACCACAGCCGCATAAATAGGGTAAATGCTAATGACTGGAGGAAAGGGCGTGTGACTTCATCACATTACTTCAAACTTTCTGTATTTCCGTATGGAAAAACCAAGTTTGAGTAAACAAATCATATGTGTACGAGTTGAAAAGAATGAAGTAGGAGAGGGGTGAAAATGAAGTCATTCTCCAAAATGGGGACAAGGACAAACTCTGGATAAGTCTGACCCTTAGAACCCAAACTATCAATTTGCACCACCAACCTTTGACATCAACATCATCACCATCACCATCACCATCATCAATTTTTAAAACCCCGAGCACTTTCAGTGGCACTTTCAGGAGCTGCTTCTCTAGGTGAGGGGCAGCGCTGACTGTCAGAGCCCCACCTCTGTTCACCACTGGAGTTACAAGATCTAAGAGCCGCTACACGCCTCTGCAGGCCCATGTGATTCTCCTCCCTGATGCCAGCCCTGTGAGAGTGGCAGAAGCACCCACCTCTAAGGACACTCACAGTGTTAAACAAGAGCGGGTTTCCTATGCCTGTGGTTGGAGGGTAGAAAAATTCACTACCCACGGATGAAGCTGTTCAGATGACGACCCGTTTCCCCTCTGTTCTGGGAAAACAGGGAGTGAGCTCTGGTGGGAAAGGAAATCAATCTCTTTTTCTGAATACACACTCATCGGCAGTGCTACTTAGGAAGGAAGGAACTCTATTTGGGCCTGGAACAATCCTGACCAGCCCTGGCTGTCTCCCTTACTCCACACCTCACCACACCCTCCTTAGAGACCGCAGGGCAGAAATAATTCCCTATGTGCCCTATTGGACTCACGGGGAACTTAGGCGTCTACCATGAGGGGCCTGACCTTGTTTCTAGGGCGAGACTTACCAATGTCACTCAGCAGGGTAAGGATGGCTCCTTCCCGCAGGCCACAGCAGTTTTCAAACTGGTTCAAGTACTGCGGAGATCATGAAAAGTGGTGTCAGTGTGGGCGGTCACATAGCCCTGATGAGGCCACCAGCAGAAGCGTCTTCTGCCAGGCAGACAGCCGAGTGCTGGCATTATACCAAGGCTGCGGGGAGCTGGCTGGAGGCAGCTGGGGCAATAGCACTGGCGGGAACTGCTCCTGGGTCAGACTGAGGCAGCAGTCTATAGGTACCCTGGTATTCACCACCTAGGCCCTGGCAAGAAGTATGTGAGTCGGCCTCACTCCCCCTGCAAGTCTGAAGGAAGTAGCTAGGGTCTAATGGCAATAGCGACTGAGTTTCCTCTCGAGATTCCTACAGACCAAAAGTGACCCTCTGACCACTCTGCTAACGGGCTCTTCCTTGAACAACCTGTTCCCTGCCCGCCACTGCTCCTAGCTCTGCAGGGATGAACTCAGCAGACTCTGCCCGCTTCCCGCAGCATCACTGCCCCGAGTCCCACTGCCTCCTCTGAGGGAAGAGCTGCTGAGACAGATCTCCGCGTCAGAGGTGAGACTGAGGGAGTCCAGCGTCAGTCAGCGCACACAGCTGAGAGGCAGGGCTGGAAAACGAAGCTAAACTCCCTGAAGCTGAACTCTGAATCCTCTGTGTTTCTGGCTCATCAGTACATCAAGAGGCCCCACGTGGTGCTGTGAATCAGCTTGAGGTCGTTAATGGTCAGCTCCACGAACATCCCAGGGTTTGTTTACCTCTGTACCTCACTCTTTTTATGGTTTTGGTTTGTTTTGGAGGTTGTGTATTTTTTTTTTTTTGGACAGGGTATGGTGAGACCCTGTCAAAAGTTGATCTAAAATTCTTGAAAAGAGTCTCCTGCCAAACTCCCCATAGCTAGACAACAGGTACAAGATAAGCATGGTGGACATTAAGTCTTGAAATTAACTCTGATTCTGAAATTTACCTGTTGGTCAAGCCTATCTACGACAGCAGTTTTTCAACCTGTGGGTCATGACTCCTTTGGCAGGGGGTGTCGAACAATGCTTTCACAGGGTCACTGAAGACCATGGAAGACCATGGAAGATATTTACACTACAAGTCATACAGTGGCAAAATTATGCTTATGAAGTAGCAACAAAAATAATTTTATGGTTAGGGGGTCACCACAACATGAGGAACTGTATTAAAGGGTCACAATCACTGCACCAAGAGATAATACAGATTTTGGCCACTAATATAGATTTTGAACCTTTGAGAGAAGGAAAAGACAGGATACCTTATTTAGGGAAGAAAGAAAATGAGATCGTAAGCCTGGGCAACAGGACCCTCTCTAGTGCCATTTCAAGTGACAGCAGGGACAGAGGTCCTTTTGTGCAGTCACATCCTGCCTCTCCCTAGATCACCTGAGGCCTGTGCCAAGAGTCATGGTGAAATTTCCATCTTCTTTTCCCCTGGCTTACGGGATGCCGCCTGAAAGGGCAAGTGCATACCTCCACCGCATTTTCAAGCACCCTGTGACCTGGTCACACCCACCCCCTTCTCCCTCCAGCCTGAAGGACTTGATACTAACAGCCTAGACCAGCATGGCTGCATTTCTACCTAACCGCAGATAGTGCCTGGATAACTGTCAAAGGTTAGCAAACAGGAGAATTATGGTGCACTCAAGCTCCCCATGTCTCTTCTGTTATCAGTCTGCTTATAGGTCACATCCTGTCCCCAAGCTATAACCACTCTCAGGACACACCTACCCCTACAGCCAAGTCATTCGTGGAAACTTTCTTTTTATAAAATAAGATAAAAGGGCCAGGAGGATAAAGAGCACAGCACACGATGGAAGGCCAGGAAACTGCTATGTAAAGAGAGAAGTCAGTGGGCACACAGGCTGTGGCTCTTTCACAGTAAAGAGCTGAAGGGAGCTAGAGGAAGAGCAGATTAAAAAACAACTCACTTGGAGCACTTACTCTTCCCACCACTAACATGACCCAGGTTCCCAGTCAGCAAGATGCTTGCACCGGGAGGGTTGTGAGCCAAGCTGTACCACTGCAGCTGTGTGTGGCCAGTGCTTTATCTGATGTCTCGGGCAGTGGCATCTACCTGCAGTGCAGAAATCCTATCTGGGTACCGAGAAGTTGAAACTGTAAACCAGGCATCCTGTGGAAGCATAAAGCCTATCTGGGTGGCACACAGAACTGTCCCCGTGACCCCAGGGAGAACTGCCGTCGCCAACTGTCCAGTGTGGGGTTTGGAGCAGAGATGGTAGGACAGTGAGAAGGAGAAGGGGAAGGGCAGCAGGTGAGTCAGGAGGACCTGGAACTGCAGCCCTGTTCGCTGATGACTAAGTTGGCTCCCTTCCTGTTTCTGGGATTCTGTGGAGAAAGTCTTTCCCCATTGGACAGCAGTGATGCTGAGCCTAAAAGCTTGCAGTGGAGCTAGCGTGCCAAATGGGGGGGTTGGGGAGTTGGATAGGACTCATTCAGTTTCTTCCTGTGGTCCAGGCCTGACAGTAACTTTTCCTTGTCACAAGTGGTCATGTGACACGGGCTATCTTCAGCTTTCCTGTGAACACGTCTGACTCAGCCTTTGGATTTACACTTACAGAAATCACCCCAAAGAAGGCACAGAAGAGGGAGTCTGAGTAGGTGAAATTTTTAGTTCACTGACTCTTTGAACTTCCTGGATGATGGAGAAAGGCCTCTCTTTCTCCCCTCCCGTTTCCCAGCCCCACCTACATCCCACAAGCCCAGAAGACTCACTCTTCGGAGATCTCCTCCTTGGCAGTACTCCATAGCCAGAAGAGGCAAGTCATTGGGAGCCAAGCTCTGCATCCCCTCTGGGACATCGCGGGCAGCCACCACATTGGGATGGTTCAGCCTAGGAAGAGGGCAGACCAATAAGCATCCAAGTCTCATCTCAAATCCATCCCCCATTCCATGGCTCAGTCAATCTCACCTTCCTACCAAAATCTCACCTTCCTTCCCCTCGGGAACTAAACAGAAGCTGGAGATCCAGGAATGGGAGGCGTGCCCGGTCCACCAGTAAGTTAACTTATATTTACCCAGCTCTCTGAACTCAGACACCCTACAAGTATATCACATATCATTTAATTGTCCTTAAATGTCCTTTTCCAATTCTTGAGTGTGCTGCGAGACTGCTTCTAATAGTTGACAACAGGGACCTTCTGCCATTTAAGGGAAGGGGATGATCCAAGCATGCATGTGGACATTCAGTGAAGGAGACAACTGCTCTTTCTCCTCTCTTTAAGAAGTCAGCAGAGGACTGGAAAGAGGACTCGGTGCTTAAGACCACTGGGCTCTTCCAGTGGATCTGAATTTGAGTCCCAGCATCCACGTATAACTGTCTCTAAACTCCAGTTCCAGCAGATCCAACTTCCCTTTCTGGCCTCCTCAGGCCCCAAGCATGCATGTGGTACATAGACACAGATGCAGGCAAGCTACTCATACACATAAAACTAATTTTTAAAAATTGAAGTGAGCGGAGGGAGCATCTGCTCGATGAATACTTCAAGCTAACTCTTGCAGCGCTCACCTAGAGGTCCCACCAGCTGGGAGGATAGCATCCACCCAGGACAGAAAGATCCTATGTCCACACTGTGTGAATATCCACAGAGAGCAAACGGCGGCAGAGAGTCACATGCCACTCTGGAATCAGAAACAGGGAAAACAAGGACTTTTGCTGACAAGTAAAAGCTTCTCACGATGACAGTTTTAGTTAACTGACTACTTAAGTAATTTTTGACACCGTGTCTTATGTTGCCTATGCTGATCTCAAATTCCTGGGCTCAACTATTCCTCCTGTCTCCCAAGTAACTGGGCCCACAGGAGCACACCACCATGTCTAGCTATGATGGCTCTCTTAAATTTAACGTAACGGAACTGACCACAGAGCTCAGCTGTAGTGTTTAAATGTGACTCTTGTATGAGTCTCGAGGACTTTCGCCTATCTAGATAGCCTGGGTAGTACCCCAATGGAGGAGACTTAGGGTTCTTTTCTCCACACTGCAGATAGACAATGCTGTGGTTTTCATTTCAAGATACCAGGGCTGTGGGTGTGGCTTCCCCAGACATGGGCCCGGGTCCTCACTTTCTCATGATCTGGATCTCTAGGCACCAGCGATCTCTGTTCTTTGGGCTGAGTTCCTGCCGGCACTGCTTGATGGCGATCTGTTCACCTGTCACCTAGAAGGGGCACACAAGGCGGCAGAACAATCAACAGCCGAGCCCACGACCACCACTGAGCCCCACTGGCCACCTGATCTGTCTGGCGGCTCTCTTCACTGTCCCCACATCACAGCTTGCTCGACCCCTTCTCCAGCCACCCTTTGAGGGATCACAAGTCCTTCATGCCTGCCCTATCCCCATCTCCTCCACAAAACCCCTGCAGCACTTTCTTGCCCAGGGACTACTTCTCTCTCCATACCCCAACCGTTGCCATAGTAATGCCAGGTTAAACCATACAGCATTGCTGGTGATTGGCCTGTTTCACATATAAAAACTGCACTTCCATGTGATTCTGCTTAATATTGGCACAGTGGGTGTCTTATTGTCTTGTGTAAGAGGTTCTCTCTCTTCAGAGAGAAGACAAGCATAGGGTAGTCAATAGGATATGCAACAGCTCAAATTCCAACTCTCATCAGCTGTGTATCCTTTGGGCAAGGATACATACAGACTGTGTCTATTTCTGAAACAGGAACACTGACGTGCCACAATTCAAGGCTGTAATGAAGATGAGGACATGGCAATATCATGCAGATACATAGCTCAAAGCAAGTGTCTGACGACTCTACAAGAGCACAGTCCTAAGCACTATGTAGACTCTCCTGAAGCTTGTTTATTATTATTATTACTTATTTACATACTTATTTACTTTAGAATCATTACTTTAGAGTCATCAAATGAGTCCGAGACTGGACTGAGAATCAGTCCCTCCTGATTTATTCCCCCCAAGCACTGGGATTATAGGTGTTCATGGACCACCACGCCCAGTTTCCATCATGCTGGGGACCAAACCTAGGGCTCTGTGAACACGGGAAAGCACTCTACCAACTGAAGCTCACTCTCCACCCACTGTGGGCTCTTTAATGGGAAAATCAATATTGTATGACTAGTTAGCGGGGTGACTGGCACACAAAGGAGCCCAAGGGAACGTGCAGGAGGGCAGGGTTCTGAGCCTGTGGGTTGGGCTGTAGCAGCAGAGAGAACCCTGGTGTCAGGGGTGCTGGAGTCACCAGTGGCAGGAGGGCTGAGGGACAGTTGCTTCAGTGTGCCTATCTCAGTGACACGAGCCAGGCCGTGGAGAATTGCCAGAAAGAGAAACCCTCCCCAACAGGAATCACTACAGTTTATTCCACAGTATAAAAATGTCTATGGCGGGGACAGGAAGATAGAGGTTTATCCATGGAAAGAATGGGACTTAAAGTGACATGTGAGAGAGAACTGTGGCAAGACTTCCCGTGTGCAGGTGGCTGTCATTTGGTTCTAACTGCATCACTGCTTTATATTTTTACCCGAATGACCAAAATCCTGCAGGTGCCTGGCACTACCTGGTAAGAGAATGGAAATGGAAATCTCCAGAAACAGTGGGAAGTTATCTAATGTGGTCACCGATCAAGAAGTCAACCCTGAAACTGATGATTAAGACTGAAAGCTTCAGAAATGGGAGCGGTCATTACCACCCTAATGCCAGAGCACAAATATTACAAAACCTCTCAAATATTCTCAGAATGTGTTTCTAATCCAAAACTACGGTTTAGGCTGTCTAAGATACGTCTACCTCCACGCCTAGTTTTCTGGTATAGTCTAAAAGTATACAAGCAAAATCACAACTAATGCTGGAGCAGGGTCCCTACCCACAAACGCCATCCCACTTAAGGATTCACTTCCCAACTTCCCAGGAGTCTCTCCAACCCTTAGCCAATACCCATTTACTTTCTGTCTGTGTGAATTTTCATGTTCTAGACATTTCGTGTAAACAGAGTCACACGTGTATAATTTCAGACAGTCTTTCTTACTTAAAGACATGTTTCCATAGTTCATTTATGCTGTAGTTAGTGTCCACTTCTGGACCTAAACAGCCTCCTCAGGAGGCTCCTCATCCAGCCCAAAGGATGAGGCTCTGCCCCAGCATTCTTTCCTTTTCTTTGTTAGAATCCCAATTTTTAGCCTGGATTCTCAGGTCCTCTCTGAAGAGCTGATTTCCTTTTAATGTTGTAGCTCTTATGGCTTCTGAATCAGTCACTGTGGTTGCACAATCGAACCCACGGAGCAGGCCACCTGTGGTATTCAAGAGCGAGAGAACGTAGAGAAAAGCATTTCTTTAATCCACGTACACTCTCAGAAGCCACGCTTGGAAAACGCCAAACCTTGATGTCATGGCTTCCAATCTGCCCGCCTATTCTCAAGCTGACTGGAATTTAGTTTTCAGTTTCATTTCCTATTGGTGTTTAGATTCAAATTATTTTTTTGGCCCAGTTCTACGGTCGTTTTGTCAGCAGCAAATACAACTAATGCCGTACACTAAGGCTGGAGTGTTGAGCGTTAATGACTTTCGTAACAGTATTAGAGGTGGGACTGCTGAGGGCTGATCGGGTCACAGGCAGCCATGGCTGAGGTGTGACCACGGAGAGGCCTCTGGCCTTCCGCCAAGCGATGGCACAGTGAGAAGGCTCTCATCAGAACGCTGATCTCAGCCTTACAAATCAATCAGCCCCATGCCCCACCCAGGCTCATGTACAACCTCAATTAAATCCAGGGGACATGTTGACAAGAAGGGGTTCAGCGGATAAGAGAATGTAATGGAGGTGATCAAGATCCAAAAATATTATACACATGCACAAAACTGTCAAATAACACACTTTAAAATACATTTAAAAGAAACACAGTGCCCTAAAAAACTATATTAAATTATTTCCCAAATACTGGGAAGATAAGTTTATTCACTTGAGTAAGTACAGATTATTCCCACCATTAAAAATAAATTACCCAGCTTCAAGAACTCCACAGTAGCTTTTAGTCATGCAGAATCTCCAAAGAGGCCTCAGCCTGTGGAAAGCAGAGCTCTAGGATGAGAGGGGGTGGACTGTATTACTGGGGAGCACAGGTCAGGCCCTCTTTTATGCAGTACTTCCGGGCACAGCGCCACAACCGGCAGCTCCTGGTTCTAAGGTTGCAGAAAATGCCGTAACTGCTGGTTTGCCACCTGAGGGTGACAGAGTCTACATTCGGAGACTCAAGAGTCTACACACCTCTAGCTTCAAGACGGGGTAGCGCACAGCTTTCCTACTGCTGTTGTCATGAATTAAACGTAAGCCCAGTTGCTTAAAACAACACAGATGTCTCATAGCTCTGTGGATCACAAGTGTCGATGAGTTTCCTAGCCAATAATCAAGGTGTCGGCAGGGCTGTGCTGTCTTCTCCTGGCTCTACGGGATCATCCATGACACCCTGCAGCCCAAGCCTGATCATGTTCTTTGGCTTATGGCCCCTCACCTCATCCTCCAGTCCACTAATGACCAGTTCCTTCTTTCTCAGCTAGGATCAGCCTGGCACTGACTCTCCTGCCTCCTTTCCCACGTTTCAGGGCCTCTGTAGTGACACTGGAGCCACCCATAAAAACTAGGACCGTCCGCCCATCTCAGGCCATTAGCAACCTGATTCTCCCTTGCTGTGCAATCCCAAAGATTCAGGAGATTAAGGTACAGATGCCTTTGGGGCAGGAGGACACTCTGTGCAAACGATATGACAAATGATCAGATCCACTGTGACTTAGGGAACTTGTCTGGCTTCTCATTGGGTAATCTTGTCCAGTGTACATACTACAGCTAATACAGAGTTGTCAGCTGGCTCAACCTAGAAGCCATGATAACTTATATAATGAAGACACTGAAGAATACAGATATGAGAATGGCCTTTGAGCTCCAAACTTAGAATAGACAGTTAACCTACAGGGGCTAGAACTGCCTGTGCCAGCTTAGCCCTATAGATGCAGGGAATCCTAACTTCTAAGGTCTAGAACTACCTGAGACAGAAACAAATTTTCCTTACACAGTTGTCTACTATTTTTTGTTCTTGAATTATGGACATTGGAAATGTGTTCACTGACAGGAATATTCACACAGCAATAAATGGCTTTACTTTGCCAAGAACCCCCAGATCAAGAATCTTAGTTCGGAAAGCCAGACAAGGCCTGAATTCTGTCTCTGCCTTGGTTAACTTTCTTTTGTTTTGTAGATTTAACATAAACTAGAATCATCTGGGAACCTTAACCTTGCCCCTATCTAATTGTATACAGGGGAGCCTGTGGGCCATTTTCTTGATTAATAACTGATGTGGGAAGGCCCAGCCCACTGTGGATGGGGTTGCCCTGGGCAGGTGGTCTGGGATTTTACAAGAAAAGTTGAGCAAACTCTGGAAAGCAAGTCAGTAAGTGTTTCTTCATGGTCTCTGCTTCAGTTCCTGCCTCTAGGTTCCTGCCTTGGCTTGCCTTCATGAAGGACGCTGTAAGCCAACTTTTCTCCCCAAGTTAGTTTTGGTCATAGTGTCTGTCACAGCAACAGATACCAAACTAGGAATATCTCCAAGTTACTAATAAGCAGACTCCTTAAATTGAATACAATTGAAAAATGGTCTTTATTCTCAAAAAAGGAAAAGGGCCAACTATATTGTCCATATTGAACATAGCTGATTTTTGGAGATCCTTAGAGGTTGGTATTTTCGCCTTTTACACAAGAACACAAACCTTGTGTATGTCCATCTCTTATAAAGCCTAAAGAAGGCGACTGCATAAAAGGGTTCTAGAGAGTCAGTTTATACAGAAAACAGAAGGCAACACCCAAGTCCCTGTAGTTAGCCTACTAAAGATCCAGGGAAACTCATCAAAAGCTCAGACGCCCCCCCCCCCCTTAAAACTTCATTCCAGAAAGCCCAATCAACAGTGTCATAAGGAGACAATCAGTTTGCCATGAGGCTGCCTCACAAGATCAATGTTTCAGAGAAGAAGAAAAAAGTTGGGGAACTGCGCCCAGAAGGAGTGCATGGATGGGTCTCAGGCTGGGGAATCAAAAGGTACAGATGCCCCAGCCACCCATGCGCCCTGGAGACCCAGACCAGTGCACTGCTCAACCCTCTTCAGAGGAGTTCTCTGCAGGGACTGGTGATTAACACAGAGGCCCACAACTGGTCACAGCGGAGAGGGTGAGAGACTGTGGGTGCTCAGCCCTAAACGGGACACCTACATCACACCCCTCCTCCCTATGCTCAGGGATCATTCTGGAAGATGCCAAGAGCCAGGGGTTGTGGGGTTTTCTGGACAAAGCAGGGCAGTTTCCCATATGAACTCACAGCAGTCGTGACATCATGCACAGGCTCAAGACAGGGAAAATCTGAGCATGCAGAGGGAGGAAGGCAGGAAGTCCCACCCCTCGCTAGGCAGTTCAAAGACGCTGAGAGAGGGAGAATCAGTTCCTCTAAGGGCGTGTTCTGTGGTAAGGTTAACCACACTTCTCTGGGAAGCAGCACAAATTAGAATGAATTTTTTTTTTTTTAAGGTGTAAAGCTGGATGGGGAGAAAAGCGGGGAGGGAGCTAGGAGTTGGGGAGAGGAGTGATCACGATCAAATCACATCATACAGACTTCTCAAATAAGTACTTACAAGTGAAGGTCTGGGCTACAGCCACAAAATAACCCCTGCACCTAAGGCTCAGGGGTCATTTCAGAAGAGGTAGCACAAAGACTGCAAGAGCCAGGAGAACAGGGGTTTGCTGTGAGATTGTATGTCCTAGAAATGTCAGAAGTGACACTGACAAAGTCCTACCAACAAGACTGTCTGAACATGAGCTCATCAAGAACAAAAATAACAGACATGCTACCACGGACAGGGGAATGCCTAGGAGGCCTCAAGCCTACACAGATAACTACAGGCAACTAAGAGATGCTTGGAGTAGGAGAAATAGTCTTTCCCAGGGCAGAACACACTTATTGGTTATCCAATAACGAATGATCAGCCCTGAAAACATATATAAAAATAACATTACTTGGACTGAGCAAGTTGTATTTATGTATCTAGGAACATATATATGTATATAACAATAATTTTGGGTTTGTTGTTGTTTTTTTCAAGACAAGGTTTCTCTGTCTTGGACTCACTTTGTAGACCAGGCTTGCCTCCCTGGGTGCTGGAATTTCAAGACATGTGCCACCACACTCAGCTTATATAACAATAACTAATGAAAAAGGAGAGCACGAATTTTAAAGAAAGCCGGAAGGTATGTATGGTAGTGTATGGAGAAAGAAAAGGAAGGGAGAACTATGCAATTATTTAAAAAAAAAAAAGTGATTTTTTATTTTAAAGGTCTAGATGCATTTTTAGTCCCAACATAACAAGTGGTGGAGACAACCTGTCTCTATGACAAAGGGCTACAACACAAAATGACCCAGCGGCCTCCAATCTTGTCTACAGAAGTCAGGAACAGACTCAAGGGACAAACGTGTTGACACCTCCCTAAGAAAATATGCGCCACTGAGTCCATCAGGCCTTTGGCTCTTTATCCACAGATGAAAAAAATCAAAATGAAATAAGCCTCAACCCTTCGAGGGATGCCAATTAAAAGAAAATGAAGGACCCGACCCAGAGGGAGCCTTGTACAAACTATGACGCTATCACTTCAGGCCATCTGAAGTCCACTTCCTCTCAAGAACCTGGTGAAGATCCCTCTCCTCAAAGTCTTCCCTTGCCACTGAGCACACAAGAGGATATGGACAGAGCCCATGGCAACAGCCAGCACTTGTTTTGTTTTTCTTGAGAGTCTCACTGTGTAGCTCCAGCTGTCCTCGAACTCACTCTGTAGAACAGGCTGGCCTTGAACTCACAAAAATCCAGCCTGCCTCTGCCTCCTGGGTGGGCTCTGGGATTAAAGGCATGTGCCACCTCGCCTGGCACAAATGCTAATCATTTTTGAAAAGCTCTAGTTGTTATTATTTTCATACACGAGCATTTAAATCTAGACCTAATTGTATTTCTAAAAATTCAATGTAAACAGAGACAAATTAAGGATGCTGTCATCTCTTTATTTGCCTGCATGGAGCTCAGGCCCAGGAGCAGTAAGTCCTTACAGAGAACTGGGTTCCAAGAGCACACATTCCAAAGATGGAAGTGACCTCAGTCTTATCAGTAAAGCTTAGCACGACTTTGTAGGAAGGATAACTGAGAACACCTTGCCTACTAACAGCCAGCTTGTTCGCTACTTCCCATCACGTGACCAAGGACCCCCGCCCCCAGACTTGCCAGCCTCTTATCCATTAGAACACACAGACAATGTAATAGTTGCAAAGAATCCAGAATGTCTTTCCAGTTATGTTGTGGATCCATGATGCACACCACAAGTTGTGACCCAAATCCAAGAATGTGGCAAGTGACTGTCAGGATTCCAAGCAAGTTCTGTGTGATTGTGACAATGTGTGACTCCCTTTCCCTGTTTACCCTTAAAAGGAGCTGCAGGCTGAGGTCCCTGGGGTTGTATTTTTTCCCTCTCTCTCTGTATCTCAGGGTCTGCTGAAAACATTAGCCTACCTGAACTACACATGGTTTGTGCTGAGCCTTGAGCTGCCATCTTAGGGGTGTCCCTAGGCAGCAAAGACTGTCCAGCCCACACTGTGTGGGGGAACCAGGAACCAAGAGAATTGGAATGGGGCCATCTGCTACACTGTCCTTCTTTGCTGAGAAATAGAGATTTGAGGATTCCTTAGTTTTTGAATTGGTTGTAAAGAACCAAATAGTACCTACAAAATAACTGGGAATGTGCTGGGCATGTCATAAACTCTAGTTCAAACCAGGAGGGACCAGTGGAGTATATGGTCTGTATCCAAAGAGATGTGCTAACAGTATAGCCTCTTTTGGTATATTACCTCATTCCCCTGTGCTTCTGATTCCTCAGCTATACAATGGAAATTAGAGTTGTCAACATTGGAAGCAAAGCATGTAAGGTAAGGATGGTACAAGGCTCAGGCTAATGCGAAACAAACCCAGCATGCACGAAACCTGGCCTGACGCTGGCACGCAATAGGTGTACAATAATGACCCCAGTTCTTAGGCTGCACTTCTGACTTGGCTTCTTTCAAGCAATTTCTCCTGTGACAGCTACAGATATTCTCTTGCTTATGGTCAAGAGAAAACTCATAGAGTAGCAAGAAGATGCTCGATGCCAGGTGCAACCACCATATCTTAATATCTTAGCTGCATTCTTCAAGAGGCTTGGAGCAGAGCCACAGCTGACAGAAAGCATGCTGCAGCTTCCAATTTTAGGTGTGGATTACAGATAGCTTCCACACACCCAAAGCCGCCCAGGCTTTCCCTGAGGATCAGTCCATGAAGACGGTGGAGGATTTCCAGGATTAAGCAGGCAGGTTCTTCAGCCAGCTTCACTTCAGCCAGACTCCTCCCCAACTCTGACCACTATCCACTCTGCCCCATGCGTGTCTTGTTCATTTTATAAATATCTCTTAAATCTGCCCGTTTCCCCCTAGCATCACCACCATCAACCAGTGTAGTCTCTCACCTGCACCACTCAATTCTGAGTCAAGACCTTAACTGTAGCTGTTTAGAAAGAATTCCCTAGAAGGGCAGCCTCTAATTTTGTGTGTGTTTCCCACAGGTTGCCCAAACCTGGAATCCTAGAAAATAAAAATAGGCCTTGGAGAGCACTCTCCCACGTCTATCAGGAGGCTGGGTAACTGGCCTGGCAGAAAAGAAGATGTTCTAAAGAGACACTTTCAAACATTGGACACCAAAGAGATGGGGATTTCCCCAGGAATTTCACGCTGGAAGACAAAAAGGCACTAGCCAGAAGGGGAGTTTATCCTCTGGGAGAGAGACTTCTAAAAGAAATTCTCAGAAAAATCTCACGAGGATGACAAAAACAGGCCAGCAGTACGCTGGACCACTGGGCTGCTGAGATGTACATATCCCTGGCATTCTATTTAAACCTTGGGCTAATTTTAAGATCCTGAAGATGGACTGGGGAGGGTTGCTGGGTCTCTCGGTCCCTCTTCCCAATGTGACCACAGTGACTGAATCCCCTGCTTCCACTATACATTTGACTCCTCTAATTGGCGTATTGAGGACATGGCTTAGGACGCAGGCTGAGACCCCCGAGTTCCATAGTTGCGCATCATGTCTGGTACTCAAGTATCCCGGGATAAACAAGAGTTCTACGGCATTATACGTATTCCACATTTTCACCCATCATCCCTAACTGTCTGTGTTTTGTGCAGCACAATATTAAAAAAAAAAAAAAAACACCTGAAATTCTTAACTGTTTAAAAATATTTAAAATAAAGTTATTTAAAATGTTTTTACTGCTCTCATCTTTTAACACTGCCTGTATTCTACATTTATCACTATGCAATATATTACACATCAGTCTAAATATTAGCAGCCATATAACTGAAAATGCTCAGAAGGACAGCTTACTTTTCTTCTTATTTAAGTGGCATAGTTAATAAAAATGCCAAGAGTCAGTTTGGCGGCTCTCTGGCCCCCTTTGAAGTCCCTTGTCTTGCGCTCCCATTGGACCATGCCAAGGAGAGGAGGGGAATCCATCCGTTCACACCGGCCTGGACATCAGGAGGAAGCTCACCTGCCTCCCCGGTGCCAGGGCCCTACCTGATTGTGCCACCGGATGACGTTTCCAAATCCCCCGGTCCCGAGTCGTTCTTTCATTTCCCAGGACCCACACGTCTGGGTTGGGAGGGAAGGTGACCAGCTCATATCGATGCCCTGCTAACTCTAGAAGCAAGAAGGAAGAGGGGACAAGTTGGGAGTAAAGAGAACTGGAGCTCAAGAAGCGGGGGGGGGGGGGGGGGGGGGGGGGA